CAGTTCGTATTCCAATGAAACTTCAAGTTAACATTTGAAATAAATGTTTATTATAATTATGTATTTTCAGTGTGTATAAAAGTTGGTTTGTAACATATATATCGTCACTATATCAACGCCCTATTAAATACAACCCAAGTGGCCAATTACCCTGTGGCACATATGTACAAATAAGTCTTTCTATAGACCATAAATATATGACCATTAAATTGACCAATGAACACTGGGTCAAGGTCAGGCAAACCCTTTTAGGATGACATAGAAAAACGTTAAAATGATTCCAGACCAAATGTATCGGATTTATTACTTATAGAAGCAAGAAATTTACCTTATTATATAAACTTTTCTTCGATCAACCAAGTATAAAAACGAGGTCAAGACAAACTCTTTTATTCATCTTCGTAAAAAATACATCAGAACGTCTTAGTAGATTAATGTAGTGTTCATAAGCATGTTACACTTGTACATTCTCATTCTGCAATTCCACTGGACGTTAAACACCCATTGTACTTCAGTATATTGTACCATAGTGGACCTATATTCATCTTATAGTACCTAATGCTTGAGTTTGAATATTGATTTACACCACCATCAGTAGGGTTCGAAGAGATGGACAAACTGGTCTGTCCACTTTGTCCAATTGCTGACATATTCCCAAACAAGTAACTACATGGAAGTTTGTATGTTCTTATATTTTATGGTGAACATCAGTGGAACGGCAAAAGTAGGACAAACTAATGTAGTTTTCCTTGGATGTTTACCACAGGCACTTGTCTCAGAAATTTTTTTCCCTATATACCTTAATTAAACACAAGGTACCTAACTCGCATTTTTGAAAAATGTCACTCGGTCGCGAAATTCCGTTATATGCCGATTTCTTGGTTGTCAACACCACTAAAACTTATGTCGTAAATCTAAATTGATTTTTCTACACAATGGTGTATAACACGCCTACTTGTGTTGTCGGAATCATCTGTAGCAGGCCTACCCAAGTATGTCAATCGTCATTATTTCGTCTACCGACGCCGGATTGGAAACACAAAACTCGCAGTAAATGATTAATTATAACAAGAGTGCACACGCTGAAATGTCTCGCCTTCTTTACTAATCATTGATATTATGTTGATAGTCCTAAATATAAAGCTTTATTACAACTGTCACATAAACTTAACATTAACCAAGTACACTAAACATTGACCAATGAACCATGAAAATGAGGTCAAGGTCAGATGAACCATGCTAGGCAGGCATGTACAGCTAACAATTCTTCCATACAACAAATATAGTTGACCTATTGCTTATAGTTTAAGAAAAACAGACCAAAACACAAAAACTTAACAGTGAGCAATGAACCTTGAAAATGAGGTCAAGGTCAAATAAAACCTGCGTGACTGATATATAGATCATAAAATATTTCCATACACCAAATATAGTTGAACTATTGCATATAGTATTAGAAAAAAAGACCAAAACTCAAAAACTTAACTTTGACCATTGAACCATGAAAATGAGGTCAAGGTCAGATGACACCTGCCAGCTAAACATGTACACCTTACAATCATTCCATACACCAAATATAGTAGACCTACTGCATACAGTATAACAAAAACAGACCAAAACACAAAAAGTTAACTATAACCACTGAACCATGAAAATGAGGTCAAGGTCAGATGACACCTGCTAGTTGGACATGTACACCTTACAGTCCTTCCATACACCGAATATACTAGACCTATTGCTTATAGTAAGTATCTGAGATATGGACTTGACCACCAAAACTTAACCTTGTTCACTGATCCATGAAATGAGGTCGAGGTCAAGTGAAAACTGTCTGACGGGCATGAGGACCTTGCAAGGTACGCACATACCAAATATAGATATCCTATTACTTATAATAAGAGAGAATTTAACATTACAAAAAATCTTAACTTTTTTCAAGTAGTCACTGAACCATGAAAATGAGGGAAACTTCGTAACATGAGGCATCCATATACAAAGTATGAAGCATCCAGATCTTCCACCTTCTAAAATATAAAGCTTTTAAGAAGTTAGCTAACGCCGCCGCCGGAACACTATCCCTGTGTCGAGCTTTTTGCGACAAAAGTCGCAGGCTCGACAAAAATTATTTAAATAAATTTTTTGTCTGAATAGAACTTATCACCCAGTAAGTAAAATTGTATAAGATACCGTGAAAAAAAACCTAACAAGTGTTATTTGTGGTATGTCTATAAGTTACGAGTTTCTTTTTTAGACATAGATTTTCCCATCACGTCAATGTCATTCAGACTCTCGCTGGACTTTACGTATGAAATGAAATAAGATCAGATAACTCCGAGAAACATAAAGACTTTCCCATAAAATTTGACCAATCGGAAACCGAGATATATAAAGAGAGTGGGAAGATACCTTTTACTGCGAGACGTATGTTTCCAATTTGGCGTCGGTAGACGAAATAATTACGATTGACATACTTGGGTAGGATTGCTACGGATGATTCCGAAAAAAAAAAGTAGGCGTGTCATACACCTTTGTGTAGAAAAATCAATTTAGATTTACGACATAAGTTTTAGTGGGGTTGACAACCGAGAAATCGGAATATAACGGAATTTCGCGACCGAGTGACATTTTTCAAAAATGCGAGTTAAGTACCTTGTGTTATATTAAGGTGTATAGGGGAAAAAATTCTGAGACAAGTGCCTGTGATGTTTACCTACTCCTAGAAGAAAAAAATGGACCATATATAGTGAGTCACTTTTATCATTTGAAAGCAAACCAAAAAGAAGTACAGAATATACATTATTCCGGTAAAATTTTGTTTAGGTTGGTTATAAATAGTCTAAAGATCAACATAAAAAGTTGATTTACCATAAGGTCAACATGGTCAATATTTTTTTAACTAGTAAATGCTCAGAGGAAATTAAAGTCATGTAGACTAAAGCTCTGTCAGATAAAGTTGAACAGTACACTAACAACATTTTTTTCCAAAATGCCATGCACTGCTAGATGTCCTTGTCCTATGCTGTTACTGGGGGATCCATTATTACTCGTGGGGTACTAGTTTTGTTACTGGGGGATCCATTATTAATCATGGGGTACTAGTTTTGTTACTGGGGGATCCATTATTACTGGTGGGGTACTAGTTTTGTTACTTGGGGATCCATTATTACTGGTGGGGTACTAGTTTTGTTACTTGGGGATCCATTATTACTGGTGGGGTACTAGTTTTGTTACTGGGGGATCCATTATTACTGGTGGGGTACTAGTTTTGTTACTGGGGGATCCATTATTACTCGTGGGGTACTAGTGGTGGGGTACTAGTTTTGTTACTGGGGGATCCATTATTACTGGTGGGGTACTAGTTTTGTTACTTGGGGGATCCATTATTACTGGTGGGATACTAGTTTTGTTACTGGGGGATCCATTATTACTGGTGGGATACTAGTTTTGTTACTGGGGGATCCATTATTACTGGTGGGGTACTAGTTTTGTTACTGGGGGATCCATTATTACTGGTGGGATACTAGTTTTGTTACTGGGGGATCCATTATTACTGGTGGGGTACTAGTTTTGTTACTGGGGGATCCATTATTACTGGTGGGGTACTAGTTTTGTTACTGGGGGATCCATTATTACTGGTGGGGTACTAGTTTTGTTACTGGGGGATCCATTATTACTAGTGGGGTACTAGTTTTCATGGATTTCTTGTCCTATGCTGTTACTGGGGGATCCATTATTACTGGTGGGGTACTAGTTTTGTTACTGGGGGATCCATTATTACTGGTGGGGTACTAGTTTTGTTACTGGGGGATCCATTATTACTGGTGGGGTACTAGTTTTGTTACTGGGGGATCCATTATTACTAGTGGGGTACTAGTTTTCATGGATTTCTTGTCCTATGCTGTTACTGGGGGATCCATTATTACTCGTGGGGTACTAGTTTTGTTACTGGGGGATCCATTATTACTGGTGGGGTACTAGTTTTGTTACTGGGGGATCCATTATTACTGGTGGGGTACTAGTTTTGTTACTGGGGGATCCATTATTACTGGTGGGGTACTAGTTTTGTTACTGGGGGATCCATTATTACTAGTGGGGTACTAGTTTTCATGGATTTCTTGTCCTATGCTGTTACTGGGGGATCCATTATTACTCGTGGGGTACTAGTTTTGTTACTGGGGGATCCATTATTACTGGTGGGGTACTAGTTTTGTTACTGGGGGATCCATTATTACTCGTGGGGTACTAGTTTTGTTACTAGGGGATCCATTATTACTGGTGGGGTACTAGTTTTCATGGATTTCTTGTCCTATGCTGTTACTGGGGGATCCATTATTACTCGTGGGGTACTAGTTTTCATGGATTTCATGGGTACATGTGAACCATGAATTGAAATTTTCAAGGAAATAAAAGTATACTATAGGCTTATACGCAGAATTTTTTTTATGAATCCATGAAAAGAATTGGTGGGTAGTTTTAACACAAACTTCTATGAGAGGTGTATTTTGAAACTGCAAATTATTTCCCTCACTGGACTCACTGGTATAGTCTTTAAGCTAACAACTTTGATCTTACCCCTAAATGTTTAATACCTCACTTTGGAGCAGTAATTGCTATTCTCTGTCCAACTTTAGAGGATTAATTTCTTGTGTAACACATTAAACACCCTATCTATCTGTAACCTCAAAGTTTTTTGTTTGACCTTGCCAGAGATCAGCCTACTGCACTCTCGGTAAGCATGATATCACAAATGCAGGTCTGGCGTACAAATTTTAATCCTGGTATCTATGATGAGTTTGAACACAAGACCGTTCAGGTGCTTTTATAAGCTAGAAGGGCAGCATGTGAAGTATTAATCTGAGAAAGGCTTCAGACTGGCATTTAGTAGCATAAAACAAGCTAGCTCTCTAGTACTGATAGTGATGCCATCAAGAAACCACTGATATAGCAATATCAATGCCTGTGATATATCTGTTATTAATTAAATCACATCACAGGAAAAATAAAAGAAAATAGATATTATTATTTTAAAACATGATACAGACATATGTATATATTAATGTTATAATTTAGTTTTCGGTTGGAGAATGGCATCGTTGTTTCAATGTATCCACCACAGAAGTGGTTAATTCTGATAAATGTTGGTGAATTTTAAATATATCCTGAGTTTTCAACTCCTTCATGTTATCATTTTTACACTGTTCAACCAAACTTTGTAATGTTGATATCATAGAATTTTTGTCAACAGTTTTTTCCTCCGGATCAATTTTCAATTCACTAGATGTGCCTTCTGAAACAGAAGTTGACACCATTGTATTCATGTCATCTGTATGGGGTACTATTTTATCACTAGAATGTAATATGGTCTGAATTTCAATGTCTGCTTTATCCAGTGTAGATATAGATATATCACCAGTCTGAGTTTTACTGTCTGTATTATCCACTGTAGATTTATCATCTTTTTGTTCAATAGATATATCTGCTTTTGAAACTTTATTTTCAGCCTGATCATTTTCTAAATCTGCTTTTGAAACTTTGCTTTCAGCCTGATCATTTTCTAAATCTGCTGTTGAAACTTTGCTGTCAGCCTGATCGTTTTGTAAATTTGATGTTGAAACTTTGCTGTCAACCTGATTCTTTTGTAAATCTGTTGTTGAAACTTTGCTGTCAGCCTGATCCTTTTGTAAATCTGTTGTTGAAACTTTGCTGTCAGACTGATCATTTTGTAAATCTGTTGTTGAAACTTTGCTGTTAGACTGATCATTTTGTAAATCTGTTGTTGAAACTTTGCTGTCAGCCTGATTCTTTTGTAAATCTGTTGATGAAACCTGAATATCTGTTTTATCTATATTCTGTTCCTCTTTAGCATTTCCTGAAATAAAACAAATGTTAAAATAAGAAGATGCAGTATGATTGCCCATGATACATCCACCAGACACCAACAGACATAGATGTAAGAAACTTCAAGGAAGTGTGTTTTCTTTCTTTGAAAAACTTTGCTGTCAATGGTAATATTAAAACATGAGTGGGCACAATGAAATGCGAACTTTACTGATTATGACTGAATTATAAGTCAAAGAAATGTTATCAAAAATTTGTTATTTATCAATGAATCATGATGGGCAGACTTGCATTCATTACAACCATTCCTTTGACCAGCCATAAGTAAATGCAAAAAATTAATGACCATTAACTATGCAAATGAGGTCAAGGTAAGATGCCCCTTTCAATACATACATGCACATCTTTTATAGACAAAAAAACATAACTGACCTATTACTCAAAGTATATTAGACAAGAGTGCACATGCTCAAATGTCTCGCCTGCTTTACTCATGATTGAATTTATGTTGAAAGTCTGTACTATGAAGGTCTTACTATCACATAAACTTAACATTATTGGTGATCCATGAAAATGAAGTCGCAGTCAGATGAACCATGCCAGACACACATGTACACATTACAATAATTCATTCACCAATTATAGTGGTCCTACCGCTTATAGTAACTGAGAAACAGATCAAACCACAAAATCTTTACATTGACCAATGCACCATGAAAATAAGGTCAAGAAAATATGATCCCTGCCAAACAGCCATGTAAACCATACAATCATTTCATACACCAAATATAGTTGACCTATTGCTTATAGAAACTCATAAACTGACATAACCACAAAAACCTACCATTGACCAAATATACTTGACCTATTGCTTTCAGTATCTGAGAAATAGTTAAAACCACAAACACCAAATATTGTCCAATGAACCATGAAACTGAAGTCAAGGTAAGATGAAACCTGCCAGTCGGACATGTGCACCTTACAATCAATCCACAAACCAAATTTAGTTGACAGACTGCTTATAGTATCTGAGATACTGACTTGACTACTACATAATTTTAACTTTGATCACAGATCCATGAAATGTTGAGGTCAGAAGAACCCTACCTGACAAACATGTAGACCTTGCAAGGAACCCGTATACCAATTATAGTTATCATAATACTCATAATAAGAGAGTATTTCTCTTTTGTAACAGTCACTGAACCATGAAAATGAGGTCAAGGACATTGGACATATGACATCCAGAAACTTGGTAACATAAGGATCTGCACACAAGGTATGAAGCATCCAGGTCTTCTAGCTACTGAAATGTAAAGCTTTATACAAATAGTTTACACCGTCGCATTGTTATCCCTAGGTCTCGCAAGCATTACAAAAATGACCTATCATTAAAAGGTAATGTTGTAAATGGACATGCACACCTTACAATGATTTTATGAAGCAAAACGCAGTTGACCTTTCACTTACAGTATCAGAGAAATGGACCCAACTGTGAAATGAGAGGTCAAGATGACACATTGCAATAATTCTATATATCAATTTCGTTTAATCATAACTTACAGTAAATGATCCAGTTCTTTGAAATCTAGTGACTGAATGATGAAAAAGATAAAAAAAAGTACTCACCAAAAATAGGTCAAGAAAAATAGTAAATATTGTTAAATTTGCCAACAGGAAATGGAACTATTTTTTTTGGTGGGATGTGGAGGGATATCTTGTCTTGACATATATTCCACATCCCCTTTTCATATTCCCATTCATATTGTAGCTTGTTTTAATAGAAAATCAATGTATTTATTCTAATGTAACTTAAAATGTACAGTCACCTTGTTTTTCCTGTGCCGAAATAATTTTAATCTGTTTTGCACCTGTTTGTTCTTCATACTTTCTGAGAACCTTCCGTACCACAGATACCTTAGGTGATCTTATTGGTAATTCATCTACTTGTTTTTCTGTCAATGATGATAAATCTCCTATTGTGTGAATATTCCTCGCTTTAACTAATTGTCCCAGTCCTCTTGCCCTGAACAAATAAAAAATATACATAACATCCACAATTTGATGAAATAACAGGCCCATCAGTTAGCATGATACATAGATGCCAACCCCCCTTTGTTGCAATCAGTAAAAAAGTATTAAGATTTCAATAACTTCTGATTTTTTTCAGTAATATTTTTTTATAAGATTTTATAATAATCATACTAACAACTAGGCACACAGTGACAAATAAAAGACTTCCTTCCTTTATTTATGACAACTACGATTCAAAGTTGAAGAGCACTTAAGGAAAACGGACCATCGCACTGAATGGAAGTCGTGTTCACAAAATATTTGCAAAAGACATCAGACATCATTCATTAACATTAACTATTTGGAATCTAACAAGAAATGGATAGATCACTTACTAATATAGATAATCCCTAGAAACCCGAAAAAATCAAATAATCTGTATCACGCAAGTGCTTATTGTTACAAACTTATAACCAAAAATAAAGCGTCACATTGATCAAAATGATATCTAAATCAGTAACAAGTAGACTGTTAATCGTAACACCACAATTTTGTTCCAAAATTCGTAAAAATTATGGGTTAATAGTAACGTTTGGCATCTATGGTGATACTGAAATAATTTGTTTTCTAAATTTTAAATTCTAGATTTCTACACAATTTCTTCCTACTGATATTCAGTTTCTTCAATCAGTCTTTCTACAATTTTTCAATTTAAAAACCATATATTCCTTTGGACCCAATTTACAGTGAAAAATGTTTTATTTGAGTGTATTTTGTTAATAACAAGTGGCTTCAAGGAGCCTGTATTGCTCACCTAGTATACAGTATATTGACCTGTTACTGTAAGATGATAAAAACAGCATGATGATTTGGCAACTGAAAGTGCTTTCAAAATGCAGGAGACACTTTGAAACTTTTATTAAAATTTTGATCAGAGGTTTCCCATATTATCAGCATAACCTCGTTCATCTGTGTGTAATCATAAATAAACTTGTTGAAAGACCCTTTGAGCCTAAAATTGAAATCAAATCATTTTGGAATCCCATTATAGAATATTTCTTAAATTGAACAATCAGAATCCAAGATTGCCTCTGACAGGCATGTTTTTCATAGTTAAATAAGTAGTTCCACAGAAGATGAATAACATGTAATTTTCAATAGGGTTTTAAGGAGGAGCATTTGCAATCAATGCTGCTGCATGCAATGTTAACCCCCCAATCAACATTAAATGATTGTTCTTAGAGAGTCTTTCCATCATCAACCGCCCAAAGTTTCAAAACACCTGACATTGCAGTTTCAGAGATGACACCCAGAATATTCATGAATATTTCCCACTGTAAATTAAACACAAAGTCAACATCAATCAGGAGAAAAGATTTTGAAATGAGCTAATCAGAACTAAGATGAGCTTTTCATTCCATAAGACCAAACTGAGGATCATTTATAGAGAACCCATCATACATGATTCACAAAGTTTGGTTATAATCAATATACAATTAAAATGAGATTGACTCTGGTGACCATGCTTTTCATTGGATTTGAACTAATTTTTTACTTTCTGAACACCATTCCTACAGTTTTGGTTAAAATTGATAAAGTAGTTTCATCTGTTTTGATGAGTACCACTGGTGAGTCTAATTTAGGCAAAACACACGTCTGGCATTTTAAATTAAGACCGGTATCTATGAACCAAATAAGAATAATTGTAAATGAACTACCCTTTGTTTGAAGAATTTGATGATGACTGCAGTGGTAGAGACCTTTAATGGTCTCTGTTCACCCCTTGTATAGACTCTGGGTTTTTGAGAGCCTGACAAAACAGACTCTTATCTATTGCTGAAGACCAGATTTCTTTGGTTTTGTTTTGTGTCTTCAGATTGTTGCCTTATAAATATTCTCCTTATACTCATATCTAACTTATCTAATTCTCTGTCAATATTGGTAAAGCACAAAGTCCATAATTCTGAGGAAGGTAGAAAATAAACTCATTATACATAACAGGATTAAAATTTTGTACACCAGATACCTTTTCGTCTATCTCATCAGTGACGCTCAGAAAGTACAAGTTGAAGAGCATTGAGGAGCCAAAATTCTGTAAGGTTTTGCCAAATACAACTTAGGTAATCTATTCCTGTCATAGAAAATCCTTAGTATTTCGAAAAGTTCAAAGTTTTGTGAACAGTTAATTTATAATGACCATATCAATGATAATTCTTGTTAACACAGAAGTGCTGACTACTCGGCTGCTGATACCCTCAGGGAGGAAATCTCCACCAGCAGAGGCATCGACCCAACAGTTGTAAATAAACTCATCATAGGTTCCAGGATTAAAATTTTGTACACTGGACGCACGTTTTGTGTACAAAAGACTCATCAGTGACGCTTGAATCAAAAAAGTTAAAAAGGCCAAATATGATATCTTACAGGCAAAGTTTTATATAATGTACAACATACCACATGGATGATGTCAACTGTGGTAGAACTTTATCTACACTGACAGCACAACTTTTCAGTTCAGGAAATACTGCATCTGAAGTGTTCAGTTGAGATTGCTGGGTACTAGCATAACTACTCTGGCTCATCTCACTATCTTTCTTACTCTAAAAAGAAATTCACACAATGTTAACAAAATACTGATACAAAGGGAAATTTCTCTGATATATTTCTCCTATGTTAACTATGGTGGCATTTATTTTTCAGGATTATTTTCAAAAGTCTGAAGTACAGTGGAGTTACACATTAATCCTTCCTTGTAGTGTACCAGGTACAATCAGAAATTCACATATTACTCATCAGTGTTATTCAACACATTAAGTGCCAATCTGACTAAGAATCAGACAGTAGTGAAAACATGACAAACAAAAATCGCTCAAGTTTACATTTATTTAAGTTCAAAATGTATAATGGTGCATGAATATAACATTCATTTCTTTTTCCTGTTCTGACATTTCAAGATATAATTTGGTTGAAATGCACAAGAAATTAACACTTAAGGGGAGCTAACTCCAAAATTTGCTATCAATCTAACCAAAAGTTATCTAGAGATTTCTCGAATTATCAGACACACAGAAACAAAAGACCTACCATTTCTAACTCAGGAAGAGAGTAACTTCAAAATAGGATGGTGAGGTCATCAGGTTTTTTTCGGCTATGTTTTGAAAATCTTCTAAATTGCCTGATTCTTACAAAGATTGGCACTTAAAAGTCATTGAGAAATAACAGACAAATATTTATTCTAGCAACAGACAAACTTTCAATATAAATTCTACCCAAATAAAAGAAAATCGACAAATATTCTGCCTGCTACTGGATGATATCTTACAGGCAAAAGTTTATCCAATTAATTTTTTTCCATATCCCCTAAAACATTGAACAAAATATCTGTTTATCCCAAATTTAAACAGTTATGTATGTTGATAACATAGTCAAAAATATATTGCATATCTTAAACATGATTAAGGATTTAAGAATAAAATGGATTTTTACATCGGTTGCAAAGAAATACAATGATATGCAAGTGAAATAAAAACCGATAATTTCACTCCTCTGATGTCATACAATGGGACATTGTCAAAACAAATAGAGAATTAGTAGAAAAAGATAGTTCTTTGCCTACTTTATTTCCATTTAAAAGTCCATGTTCAATGTTATAACAGAATAACTAATCTAAGAATTCAAATATTGAAAAATATTCAACTCATACAAAAATACACTGATTTTAATACTCATGTGCTACACACATTCATGAATTAATGTGTTGTTCTGTCACTTGTTGAATATTTTTCTATATTTGAATTCTTGGATTAGTTATTCTATAATTATAATTTTGACTGAGTGACATTGCAATAATAAATCTTACAGCTTTAGAAAAAGTTCTCTCTCATTGGCAGTCTCAATTCAATACTTACCAAGTCAGAATCTGTAACTTGACTGTCACTAACTGATGATGTGAAAATCTGAAATATTTAAAAAAAAAAAAAATACAATTCTGCACCACATCTCCCTATTTTTATGTTTATGTTAATTGTTGTAGTCATCATTAGTAAAAATAACTAGTCTCTCTAAAGAGCCTTTGACGCTTACCTGCATCTTCAACAATGGCCACTTCTGAGTAAAAATCATCATTAAAGGGCAATAACTCTTAAGATTTAACTGACAATTTCAATCATGTTGACATATTTGTAGATCTTATCCTGCTGATAATTATTCCTTTTCAAAGTTTCTATTTCTCTATTATAGTTTTCAAGGTAAAAGGCAAAAAAAATGTTAAAAATTAACATTGAAGGGTAATAACTCCAATAAAGAGTTGACTGAAGATTTCGGCCATTATGGCTTATTTGTGGATCTTGTCTTGCTAATCATTTGTGCTATTTAAAGTTTCTATCTAGCTATAAAAGTTTTCAAAACCTTTTAGGCCAGGTGAGCTAATGAAACATTGACATATCTTATTGTTCAATGAAATCATATAAACTGGATGAGTCAAGTTCACCAAAAAGAGGAGTTATTTACTGCATAAAAAAATATATGCACTTAAAAATTGTCATTTATATATCAAAATGACAGGTGAATAAGGCATATAACATGTCACAGAAATAATCCTGGAAAAGTTCTGGTTAAAGCATATCTGCCTCCATGTAAACCATAAGCAGAGAAAATTTTTCCGACACTGAGTCAATCATTATATCTATAGCCTACTTAGCTGGGGTATAACATTAACAAACCTTTTCAAGTGAAGATGAGACTTTAGATGTTGATGTTGATACCAGTGGAGAAGCAGGTCTCTCTGTTGTTCCATTCATCTGTTTGGATTCTGATAAAGGTGTAGCAAATGACACTCTTCTTTGCTATAATTCAAAAATCTGTTGATGTTAGAAGTTCTTAATGAAATTTTTTTACACCTTTACAATTTACATAAAAATAAACTGAAATAATTCCCTCTATCATATTATTATCAAAAACTGTAAAAATATCACAAAGTAATATTAGTGTTGAGCTTTTAATCTTTTGTGTAAAATTTCAGGAACACTGAACATACAGCACATGCTTTACCTCCCAAAAAAAAATGTTAGTGATTAAAATAAACATTAAAGGTATCAATATCTTTTGATACGGTTGTGCTCTTATATTATTTCCCAATGTGTTTAAATCAAATTGTCAAGATTTTGTGTAACAACACTATTTTACTTGCTGTGTTACCCATGAAAAGGAAAACATTAAAATTTTCTCCAATTTGAGTTAATTGGTCAGATTCAGATGTTTAGCTATCACAGATTTTTTTTTATAAAGAATACACACATCACTCTAACCTTTGAAATTCAACCTCCAACTGCGATTACTTTTTATACTTAATAAAATTGAGAATGAAAATGAGGAATGTGTCAAAGAGACAACAACCCAACCAAAGAGCAGAAAACAGCCGAAGGCCACCAATGGGTCAACACAGCGAGAAAATCCCGCACCTGGAAGCGGGCTTCAGCTTAAAACTGTATACATATTTATGGCATTAAAATTTTAAACTGTACCTTAGATGGAGGAGACTATACATTCATGCATTAAATGTATAGTCTCCTCCATCAAAGGTACAGTTTAAACTATAAAACTGTACCTTTGATTGAGGAGGCTATATATCTATTGCATTAAACTATAAAACTATATCTTTGATTGAGGAGGCTATATTTTTATTGCATTAAACTATAAAACTGTACCTTTGATGGGTAGAATATATATTTATTGCATTAAACTATAAAACTATACCTTTGATGGAGGAGGCCATATATTTATTGCATTAAACTATAAAACTGTACCTTTGATGGGTAGAATATATATTTATTGCATTAAACTATAAAACTATACCTTTGATGGAGGAGGCCATATATTTATTGCATTAAACTATAAAACTGTACCTTTGGTGGAGGAGATGGTGAATCCTTTGCTTTCTCTCCACTAAGTCTTCTTCTTTTCAATATTCCTGCACTTGGTGAAGCAGATGGAGAATAGATATGGCCAATTTTGATTGGATGAAAACTTTTACGCTGTGATGGTGATTCAAGACTTAAGGAACGAATTGTTGGTTTAAGTATGCTACGTCTAGCCATGATTGACCTTTTCTCAAATTTACGTGATACTGTGATCAATTTACTGTCAGAATGTCTGTCAGCAAAGGTTAAACCTTTTCTTGTATTTATTACATCCGGAGTTTTACGTGGAGTTTCATCTTGCATCATATCATTGAATTTTTTCAGATTATCAGGGCCGACGATTTCTTCTGCTTCATCAATTTTAACACTTGTAGACTGAGATTGCGATGGTATAACAATCACATCATTGGCTTCAGTAGTAAGTTCTGACAAAGCACCTTTTCCATCTTTTTCTTCTTCTATCTGTGTTGTATCTACATTGTTTCTTTTTGTCCTTTTTGATTTAGATAGAGATAACATATCGCTTGCTGCCTTCTTTATACCACGTGTACGTAAAGTTCTACCTGAGGATCTTAACCTTTGAGACAAAGGAGAAGTCTTCCCTTTCCCATCCCCTGTTATTTTCTTTGGCCTGCCCTTTCTGGATTTATTTGGCAAACCCTCTGGTTCTGAAAAATTTTCTAAATCCGAAGTTGGACTTATATCTTTTGGCTTCAATGAAGAAAGGGGGACATTGTCATCACTTTCACTGGTAAATGATGTTGACATTAAACTGGTATCCAAATTTTCTTCTGATTTATTATTTTTATTTTCTGAACATACATTTGTATTTGAAGAGTTTATGGTGCCATTATTGTCGTTCTCTTGTTGGTTATCAATGCATTCCTTTTGTGCATCTATATTTTTACTTTGACTATCATCTTTCTTGTCTTGATTATTTCTCTTTTCTCCGCTGTTAAATTCATCAGTATAAACCTGTTCAATATTATTTTCCAGTTCCTTATTCTCAGAATTTTCAAATAATTCAAAATTTTCAGAGCTTTGTTTTCTGTCATCCTGGCTACTGGAACTCTTATTACCAAATTCCTGGTTACCTGAAGTCTTTTTACTGTCTTCTTGGTCAACTGAACTCTCGTTTTTATCTTGTTGATCACAAGAACTCTGATTATTGCTTCCCTGGTCACCCAGAATCTTGTCTGCTTTCAGTTCAGATGATTTAATAGTTTCACCAGAAAATTTGTCAGAATTTTTGTCTGCCTCAGGTACATTTTTCTGATCTTCCTTGATGGAAGCCTGCACATCTTCAATATCTATAGCTTCTATTGTTTGTTTGTTTTGTTTAATCTTATCCGAAATTTCATTGACTTCTTCAGTTAGATTTTCCTTGATAGATTTAAAGATATCCTCACTTTCCTGAACTTCAGATTCTATGATTGATTCAAGCTCTTTATTTCGTGTCTTAAAAGTGTCCTTGCTGTCATCAGTGTCTAATTTTGTATCTAAATCAAGTGGAATGGCTGTCTTTCCTTTTGTTAAAGATCTCCTTTGAGCTACTTCCTTTTTCTTTTTGGTGGTGCTAACCCTTGTAGGTGTATCAGTAATTGAACGATTTTCTGGTGTTTTCTCCATTTTTTGTTTGTTGGTAGAGTCTGATTCAGGTGTTTTGTTAATTTTTAAATGAATTTGACCAGTCTCTGCATCTTCTGTGAAAGATTCATTAAAATCAACGTCCATGAAGTTATCAGTCTCTACTGGTAACTCACCAGACTTTTTCTGTTTGAATATTTGACTTTGCTCATTAATATTTGTGTTATCAATCTGAACATGACCAACCGTAATTATATTGTCATTAACTGATTTGGATGAAGAGTTTTGAAGACATTCTTCCAAAGAAATCAAAGCCTGGCTTTCCTCATTTCTTAATGAATTAATTTGTGATGATTCTGAAGACTTTTCTGATTGTGATGTTAATAGAATTTTGGTTTCACTTTTTCCATCCTCCTTTTCAGCTTTCTTACCATTTGCTACAGGGTTATTGACCTCTGAATGATTTTTTCCTCTCATAACTCTCCGTCTTTTTGGTGTTGATACAGAATCAGATAAATTCTGTCCATCCATGCCGGAATCGTCTTGACTAGAGTTTTCTTCTTTTTTACTTGTAAGAGAAATGTGTCTTCTTTTACGTCTTGGTGGTCCAGCACTTTCTGGAGATAATTTTTTGGGTGTTTTCTGCTTTCTTTTTCTAGCAGAACCTATGGTAGATGTAGCCAAAGTTGGTTCTAACAGAGGATTATATGAACCTGGATCAGATTCATGTGTACTTTCACAAGTATCCTTTTCAATAACAGCAGGGGGACTTTTGTCAACAGATTTGACATATTTTTCTACTTTGGTAGTTGTTTCACTCAGTGTAGATTCTAAACAAGGATTATATTCCTGTGAATCCCTTTCAGTAAACAGACTTTCAGAAGCTGACAAACTTGCTTGTTTAGAACCACTTTGTTCAACAGAGAATCCTTGCGAGGCTGGCAGATCCTCATTCTGTGCTGGATCCTCAATTTGTTCAGGTTGAATCGGTTTTAAATCAGAAAAATCATCATGTTCATGGAGGAAAAGCTGAGCAAGTTCTTTGTCACCACTTCTGTTAGAAGACGGATCACTTGAACATGGTGTAAGACTTGTACTTTTACATGGTCTTCCACGTCTTCTAGTAGGAGTCAGACTAGAACTTGTGCCATCTTTACGTGATGGACTATACTGTAATATTTCATTTTGAGTTAGCTTCCTTAGTTTTAATACTGGAGTACCAAGTCTGACACTTTTATTTGAAGTAGGAGAAGCAGGAATAATGTTGGAGTCTTCACAGAAGTCAAGGTCTTCTTGGTTTACAAGTTTAGGTGGAGTTGTCAGGATGGGATTAAAACCTGTCGATTTCTTTGGAGACTGGGTCTCTTCAATCACAGCTATAACAGGGGATAGTTTACATATCTTAGTTTTGTCATTCATTTTCTCTCTCATGTCAGTTGTTGGTTTCACAAAAACTGCATCATCATTTGGTGGCTTCATCTTTTTTGGAGACTGTGTTTCATCTACTAGTGATATTGATAAAGATGTCTGTGAAAACATCTTCTCTTGTGATGATAGTAACTTGTTGGATGTCTGGGAATCTTCAGATACTTTTCTGTGTACAACCATATCATCTTTTTTGCCATTTTCAATAGATGATCTACGTGTTTGAACTCTTGGTGAACTAAAAACATGTGCTGATTTTTTTCCTTTAGTTTTTTTAGCATTACTTCCGGACTCTGACATTTTTTCTTGTCTAAAATTAGAAAGTTCTGACTGCTTTATAGGAGATTTTATTATCCAAGAATCTAGTCTTCTCTGTGATGGTGAAGGAAGGCCTTCCTCCTTACAAGGAGAATCAGACTGTGAGGATTTGCCAGGTGGTGACAGTCTTGGTGTACCTAATGACATAAGCTGCTGAACACAGCTGATTTCATCCTCTTCCCTGCCCATCAGTGACTGGTGATCATCAGACAAGTTTTCATTCTGTTTAGTTGGTGTACCTTTTGAGGCAAGGTTAGGTAACATACTCTTGATGACATTAAAGTGAGCAATATCTTTTTGTGAAGCATCAGGACTTGTAGCATCAATGTTGATTTCATCAGAAAACCTTACAGATCTCTGATTGGTTTTAGAAGTCCCATCTGAATCATTTATGGAGGACTTTTTCTTGTTTCTCTTCCCATGTATACTTGGTTCACGCTTCTTTACCTCTGATTTTTGCGATGATTGTTCACCTTTATCTTTTTCTTGTTTTAAAGTTTCAGACTGAAAACAAATAAACAACATTTGTGTATCATGATTTAGTAGCCCAACATGTAATTTTTATACAGCTAGTTCAAATATTTTAAACATTGGAAAATTATATATCAGCAAACAGGGAGTAGGTGTCCCACAGATCTAATAAACTGCTTCGCTGAGCGCAGCTGGATACGCCCGAAGAGGTCTAACCCTGAACAGTTGGGGCAAAAATGGACACAATATTCAAGCTTGATACAGGTCTGAATTTGGACTGTAATTAAATATTTGACATACATCTATTATAGGTTTCTGAATAAATGTAGTCAAAGAACTTGAAGTTGGTTATATGAATTGAATTTATATTCAATTAAAGATTTCTTGCTGTTGTGCAATACACTGTGCTGTTGCGCAATACTTAGTAAATCTGTTGTCAGACTATAAACAAATAAAAATTATAAAATTCTAAAGGGAGCTTACATCAATAGATATAAACAATTCACCAAAGTTTCATACGAATTGCTGAAAGCATTTTTGAGTTTTTGTCTGAAAACTGGAAAATCCCCCCTTTTTTAATGAATAAACCCCATAATTCGGAAATGTAAAATCTAAAATTTATAAAATTCTAAAGGAAGCTTACATCAATAGATATCAACAATTCATCAAAGTTTCATGAGAACTGCTGAAAGCATTTTTGAGTTATTGTCCGAAAACTGGAAAATCCCCCCTTTTTTTTATGAATAAAACCCAATAACTCGGAAACGTAAAATCTAAAATTTATAAAAATCCAAAGGGGGCTCATGTCATTAGATATAAACAATTAACCAAAATTTCTTGCAAGTTGGTGAAAGCATTCTTGAGTTATTGTCCTAAAACTGGAAAATCACCCTTTTTTTAATGAATAAAACCCCATAACTCGGAAACGTAAAATCTAAAATTTATAAAAAACGAAAGGGAGCTCACGTCAATACATATAAACAATTCACCAAAGTTTTAAGCAAATTGGTTAAAGCGTTTTTGAGTTAATGTCCGACATGTTGACGACGGACGGACGGACAGACGGACAGACAGACGGACGTACAACGGTATACCATAATACGTCCCGTAAACGGTCGTATAAAAAGGGCTCAAACTTTACAACTCATCATTGGCAGACCAAATACGAAGCCTCTCTGTTCATTAGTTGTAGTTCCTGAGAATAAAGATGTCAATACATGTTGGACAAATGGACAGGGGGGGGGGGGGGGGATAATGATTTAAATTTTTTTTTCATATTCAGAGATGGAGTCATGGAACAATATTCTAAAGCATTCAATGACAAACAACTTTAGACCATAAGACACCTGCATACAATAATGGACAATAAATCTCTTTTGCCATCAGGATTGATTGATTGATTGTTGGTGTTTTAACGCCACTTTTAAGCGCCACATTTGGGCTATTTCGTGGCGGCCAGTTTTTATTGGTGGAGGAAGCCGGAGTGCCCGGATAAAACCATCGACCTTCGATAGGAAAACTGACAAACATAGTCAATTAAGATTAGAGTCGAGTGCACGCGAACAAGCGGGGTTCGAACTCACAACCTCAGTGTTGACTGGCTAGTGATTACAGTAGTAACTACTTAGACCACTCAGCCACCGAGGCCCCCTTTGCCATCAGGAACAAAGTTTTATAAAGTTTATGTCATCACTGCAACACTGACATGTGTCATGTCTTCAGCGTCATTTGTCAAAAATTTTAAGTTTTGATCCATGTTCAAATGGATATAAATCAATTTTGTGCATTTAATCATATCCTTGTTTTAGATTCTCTTTTAAAATTGTGTAATAATTACAAAAACTTTCAATATTATTATTATCTATAAAATTTGTACAGTTTTTACTTACATTTTTGGCTGGTAAAATCTTTGGTAGCCTATATAAAATACAGAAAATGCAAGTATATAATCCTGGTGTATCATTGTCATTTTGTTCATTTATTCAGTTTTAAAAGTTCTCAATAAATTTCACCAAGGGCAGTTCCATCAAAACATGCACGTCACCAAGGGAAGGCATTTTGAAAATAGGGAAACCATCTTAAAGAGGCAATCTTAAATTTTCTGTTATACTTTCCCTGTACTCAAAACTCCTAACCAGATTTGAGATATCAGAGGTCCCATGTATGTTTTATTAAACAGTCCCAAAACAATGAAATCAAATGCAATTTTTTTCAAAAATAAACTCGTAAAAATCGTCTTTTCATCTGTGAGAATTATAAAGCCATTTGTTTTCTCTCACTTGAATTCTTTCATAGTTTTCTCTCACTTGAAATCTTTCATATTTTTCATGTCGGGGCCTTTTATAGCCCACTAGACTGTATAGGTTTTTCTCATTGTTGAACACTGTATGGTTGCCTATAATTGCTTATATCCACTTTATTTGAACTTTGGTGGATAGTTGTCTCATTGGCAATCATACTACATCTCCTTATTTTGATAAAGCATTATATTTTAACCTACAGATGTATATTTTGTTTAAGCATATGTGCAATTCAAACAAACTTTTATCTATTTGCAAGGCTCTACATACTGTGATTGTGACTGAGAATTCCCTGTGTTGAAGTGAGACATCAAAGAAATATCTTGTGAGGCATCCAATGTGTTGTACATAGCTGGTACTGTCCTGAAATATTATATACTTTTAAACAAGCATTCTGTGAGTATTGCATGGCAATACATAGTCCCCTACCAGTTAAAAATTCATTATATTGGAACAAAATTCTAACTTGATCTATAACTTGTCATGGTATAAACTATATAACAAATATCAAGTCAATATCTTCAAGAATGATGAAAAAAATGTTGAAAACTGATTATTAAAGTGAATTTTCTAAGTCCAAGGACCATAACTCTGCACAAAATCATCAGACCGGAACAAAATAAGACCTTGATCTGTAACTTGTCATCATAAATAATACACCAAATATCAAATCAATATCTTTAAGTATGAAAAAAAAAGTGTGGAAAACTTATTTGCCAGACTGACGGATGGACAGACAGACAGACGGACAGAGTGCAAACCTAAAGTCCCCTTCGACTTTGTCGGTAGAGGACTTATTAGTACTTTATATGTGTTGTACATAGCTGGTACTGTCCTGAAATATTATATACTTACAAAGTATATCATTATTTTAAATGTGCCGAAATAAAATCAAAATATATTAAATTGTTCATTTGACTATCAGGGGTTGAAAAAGCACTACCCTAACAGTGTTCCCGCCTGCCCTTCTGTACTCCAAAGTAAAAGAATGCACCCCTCTGCCTTTTCAAAAAAATAAAATTTCCAAATTTCATGCCTACCGGCGTTTCCGGTAAAATTGTTACCTGATTGTGTAACACTAATTAACTGACAATGGGATTAAGTTAAATACCTAATGCTTTGGCAGTTTTATCACCTTTGTTAATGATTGTTTACTGCTAATTAGTGGATTTAAGATAATTGAACAAATACTAGATATTTAATACAGAATGAAATGTCCACATGTTTTATGTACAGCTTGTACATCTGAAAAAATTTATTTCAGTAGGCATAACATAAAAAATAAAATCTTAAACAATTTTAAAGGCATACATAGTTTTGACTTAATTGGTAAGAATGTTTTGTTTCAGAACCAATCAGTATGAAATTTAAAGAGGAATCAAAGAAATTTGTACTTTGAACATAACAAGATTCACTTCCTGTTTTAATTCTTGTATTTTATAATCCTCCTGACATAGGAGCACTCAACAAATTTATTTTTAACAATGATGGAGAAAAAAGTAACTGTTTATACCTTCTGCAATATATTATTGCATCAACATAATATGATCATCTCCTGTCTCACCTGTTATATTTATAAAATTCCTTACTGAGGAGCACTTTGGTGTGCACTTAAAAATACTTTTTTGTAACAATTCAAATGATAATAAATAACTCTCAATAACATATATACTATATGTTTGAACAAGTAATTTAAATGTAGATAATTTAATTACATTAAACATTCAATTTTGCATGTATAACTCCATCTTTCAAAACTACTTGTTTATTTTTATAGACTGGTATAAGTTATAAAACATTGAAATTTCTGATGATTATTTTCCTTACCAAATGCACTTTGCTTCATGGTATGATAATTTGATAAAAAAAAAATTCTTACTGGAACCAACATCAAGAACACATTAATTTCTGAATATGGTTTAAATACAACTAATGTTCTCCAGCTGAGCCTAGCAATATTCAAGGTTACTTTATACACTGCCCTTAAAATCTGGGTTATAACGCTAAAGTGCCCTTTCAGACAACTAGCACCCTTCTGCCCTGAGATTCAAGCTGGAACACTGCCTAATTTCCTGGGTATAGTATGTATTACTGCTAGGCATTCATTTTATGTGTTTAATATGATTTCTCTGACAAGTAAATTTTATTTTATATTTTCCCTGTGATAAGTATAGCTATTTATATAATAGCACACAATCATGACATCAATCAGAATTGTCATAATCAATAATTTAATAAATCCTTTCAATATCTCATTAAACTTGCAACAGATACAGATTCATGTGTAAAATTATAAAACAAGCCAAAATACAAAAATCAGGATATATTAAATATCTTGTAAAGGAATATGTAGAGGCAAAAACAATCTATAAGGCATGCAGACCTGTCTGTGTCCCAGTTTGTCATCTGTAAATGCTCAGTGGTTACAATTTATATGCAGTACCAGTATGAGTATCAACAAAATGAGTCACTAAAAATATCAACGTTAACAGTGGAAAATGTAAAAATAATGATATAGACACAAACAAGAGGCTGTCGAGTGACAGCAAACTGGATTTTCCTGCAGAGGTCGAACCCTGAACAGTTGAGCAAGTATGAACACAACATTTAAGCTTAAAACAGCTCTGAATTTGGATTGTGATTGAATATTTAAAATAGATTATTATCTAATTAATAATGAAAATGATTTTTGAAAATCTGAACCCCAAACAGGATCATGTAAAAATTAAACATTAACACACACAACAAAAATAAAATACCATATAGCAACTGTGACATCTACCTTCATAACACACATGACTTAAAAAAAATAGTTATAAAGAAATTTTGATGTTATCATGGGTTCATGGAATAAGTTATTTCCCTTTGAACAGAAATATGGTTTAACATAGTACCCTTACATAAGATATGATTAATAGTTCTTTAAAATTAGATATGATGTAACACAATGTGTATCTATTTTCAAATTATATTCAAATATAATTAATAGTTCCAAATTTTTTTTCTTTCGTCACAAACTAATACAGATCTGCAACTTATCTATGATCAAATGTAAACAACTTTAAATGTAATGAAATATATCCTATAATAAAAATAGATTATTATCTAATTAAAGGAGTTCACTTATATATAGAATTCAGAAAATTAGTTTATACAGAATAACAAACAAACCTACCACAAAATTCTTCAAACAATTTACCAAAGAAAAGAAAAAAAAATCCAAAATGTCATTTATCATTAATACAATGTCTTTTAAAAATCTTTTAAAAAATGAGTTATTTCCCTTTGTACAGAAATGGATTAATTCATCAAAAATTGAATTCTTAGGAAAGGGCTATAACTGAATAACGAGAAAAGCTAAAATCGTGAAAATTGAACTTGACCTTCATTTAGTCACAGGAAACAACATATCTAAATTTGAAAAAATTCTTTAAAGCGTTTTCATGTAAATGAACGGACACTGTTTGGCAGCCGCCCGCCCGCTGTACATCCCCAAATCAATAACCGATTTTTACTTCGAAAATCCGGTTAAAAAGTAAAGCAAAAAAATAAACATTTTCTACAACAATGAAGTAACAATTCCCCATGAAAATGGTGAAATATGGAGTCATGAACTGACATTGACAAATATCTCAAATAATGCCCAGTGAACAGACAAATCAACATTTAGATTATACATTATTCTCAATCTTTATAATCTTAAAGACTACAAGTAATTATATCAAATTTTTTAACACATACCTTTTTTCTTTGAAAATTTCAATTTGATGTTCTGTCAATGGGTTCCTTTTTGGAGGTGGTGATTTTATAACTACAAAAACCTGAAAATACATTACAGTCAAATCATTTCTATCATTTCCATATCTAATTCATTGTTCCTTTAATCTAAGAAAAGTGTGACAAAAATATCATTGGTCAAACAAATGGACAGAAAAGGTGAAGGCAATATATAATAAAATTTCTAACACGGACAACCGAATCAAAACATGCATTAACAAATTCTCATGCATGTGTAATGATTTGTATAATGATACAAACAAGAAGTTTAGCTATAAAACAATTATATCTATTTTTTGGCATCTTCATAGTAAAAGGTTGCATGGCTTACTTCATTCTGAAAGTCGTCTACTGGTAAGATTTTCTTTTTCGCAGAGTTTGGAGTTTTGTCTGCTGATTTGGCTGGAGATTTCTCCCTGTGAGGTGATACTGCTTTCTTGAGAAAACTTCCACAGATCTTATGAGGTGATGGTATTCCAGGAATATGAGGTTCTGGAGCTTGGGAATCCCCCTGAAAGATTGCATACATGTTATGAGTTTTAAATCTAATAAAATTTATCTACAAAGACACATCTTTGATACATTAAATATGAACTACCGTAATCGGGCTTGTATAGTTCGCACTGGTACATAGTCCGCACCCCCTTCTCCCCACAAATTTCAGGTAAAAAAACTTTTTGTAACTGTTAGAAAAGGTCTAATGAAACTCCGGTAATTTTAAATCGTGTGTGGTTGTTTGCGGTATTTTCTGGGAAAAACCTATTTTCCATCACCAAACAGAAGCTGAAACTGCTTGTAAATGGTTCTAAAACACTTCACGCTGGTTAAAATAAGTCTAAATCACACAAAAAACAATTTAGAAACTTGTGTATGTTTAAACCAGAAGTTTGAAAAGCACGTGTAAAAGATGAAAAAACCTGGTGAGAGTCGAAATCCGTACATAATAGATATCACTATAATACGACTTTGAAAGTAAAACAGTTCCCTCCTTATGTAAAACAGTGTTTAATATATATATCACATTAATGTTTGAAGGGTCTTAATCTAATACAAAACATATTTGTCAATGGGAAACAACAAAACGGAACGAATAATAGCCAATTATGTTTTGTAGTTTACACATTGTAAACTGGTTTGCGGTTGTCTTTTTTTACTTTAGTAGATACCAGTTTATATTTAGCAATGCATTGAAAAGAAATGAGAATTTTGTAGTAGAGCATTTAATTTTTAAATTTATCAGTATTAATTTGATATTGAATAAAAATAACTTATTAATATGGATTGGGTAAAATTATTGGTTTGAAAAATGATAAGAGCGCCCTCTACAATGTCAATAACAAACATGGCGGAACGTAAACAGACTACATCGCGAAATTGAAATTTTCTCTCTTATTCTTGCTTATTGTACTCTATAGTCCGCACCCCTGCTATCAGGGTCAATTTTGGAGAATAAAACCGCGGACTATACAAGCCTTTTAACGGTAAAATTAAAGGGTCTGATAATTAAAATGCAAAGACTCTTAAAAACACATTTGTAAATTGTTTAATAATTACTTTTACATGGAGTTTTTGACTGAAAAACTTTCAAAAACAATTGATTTTTATGAGTCATTATATTAACTGGAAAATTAAAACTGCTCAGTTATAATTCATTCCTTCCTAAATTATTTACTATATTGATACTCAAGAACACAAAACATGTAAACAAATGGATTAATAATTTATTAAAGTAATGCTCTATTTTTACCTGTGTAAGTTCACTACAAGGTGTCTCATCAACAACATCTACTTCATTAACAACCCAATTTGGTAAACTGATCCGAAGCCGATGTTTCTTAGTCATACTCTGTAAAAGTTCACTACAAAGAAAAAAAAGTACTTAATATAAGACAGACAACAACTCTAACTTTTTGACCTGTCTTACATTTTCAGGGTACTATATACATATATTTGGTTAATGCTGGTTTCCGTCAAGCAAAAAAATCATTCGGATGAGAAACTGGGATACAGTATCTCATTTAGTTGATGTCTTTCAAAAGTTTTCATCAACAAACGAGATTGTTCACTTTACACAAAAGAACAACAAAACTACCGGGCAATGGAGAAAATAGAACTGTTCTTAGCTGCTTTGTTTAGAACATTTGTCAGGAAGGAATATCAGGTTGCATTTTGCAAAGCACTAGGAGAAAGAGTAAATTTGTTCATGTCAGCAAACCTAGGTCATTGTCAAAGTATTCAATACCTAGGTATTGTAGTCTTTTCACAATAAATATTTGTTTGTCTCTTTAGAAGTTGCATTTTTTATAAAATATGACACTAATGAGCTCAGAAAATAAAACTATATGTGTCCATAAAGAAAATATTTTATGTTAACACTAGAAACAGTCTAGTGCTGGACCTATTCTAAATGCATTGGTCCACATATTTTAAGTCTTGACACTATAATGCTTAGATAACTTGTGGAAATCTAAATATATATATTAGTCCATAATACATTAGTCAAGACATTTTGGTAACTGACACTTTATACCTGATATTATCTGGGAAGTTTAGTGCTGGTCCTGTACTAAATGTATTGGTCCATGGTTTTGAGAGATTACACCAATGTTATATACCTGAGACTTTCTGGATACTCTAGAGGTGGTCCTGTACTAAATGTATTGGTCCATGGTTTTTAGAGATGACACTAAATGTTATATACCTGAGACTTTCTGGATAGTCTAGAGGTGGTCCTGTACTAAATGTATTGGTCCATGGTTTTGAGAGATTACACCAATGTTATATACCTGAGACTTTCTGGATACTCTAGAGGTGGTCCTGTACTAAATGTATTGGTCCATGGTTTTTAGAGATGACACTAAATGTTATATACCTGAGACTTTCTGGATAGTCTAGAGGTGGTCCTGTACTAAATGTATTGGTCCATGGTTTTTAGAGATGACACTAAATGTTATATACCTGAGACTTTCTGGATAGTCCAATGGTGGTCCTGTACTAAATGTATTGGTCCAAAAGTTTTGAGTGATGACACTAATGCTACGTCTAGGATGAGATAATGTGGCCTCTACGAAAGGTGACATGATCTTGAGAAAGTCGGAGTCCAGTTGTCCATTGTACTGTTTCTGTACACTATTACATATAGTCTCGGTCATTTTCTCAGTCTGAAATCAAACCCAAAAATCTATCAGATGCATCACAGGTGACCTTTCTGCATTAAAGTGTCCAGATTAATAATAACCTGTTTATTAATAAGATTAATTGTATTTTGAAAGGCTTGAGTAATTTTACTACTTTTACAATTTTAGGGACCAACTAATGGCTCTGATCTTACCTCCTCCTTTCCAACATGAAAGAAGACCAATATTGGGTCTGGACCTGTATCGCTGTATGATTGAAGTTATATGTATACTGGAGCATAACTGACATCCTTTTCAAAGATGGCAAGACATCTTTGACATAAAATTTCCTTGTACAATGAGTGTTGAAATTTTTTGAACTATTGGCAACCAGGAAGTGGCTACACAGCAAATGTAAAAATTGCTTACTCACTACAACTCAACATTATCAAGCTGCAGACCAATATTAAATCAAACATTTCAATGGGAGCAGAGAAAACTTTGACGAAAGTGGTTACTAGACCTGCTTCTGCCTTCAGCAATATATTGTATGAATTGAAATATGCATTGAACAAGATTAGAGATCAATAGGACATCATGCCCTGCTTGCATCAACATTGTCCTTTTTCAGTGAGGCTTTATAACTGTAATTTGGCATATAATATTTAAAGTTCTCATCATGATGTAAATGTGTTTTTAGTTTCAAGTTAATGCTACTACAATTTCATGGTAAGCTACCGTGACCGCAAACTTTAACCTGATAATGTACTGGACAGTATGGAATTTTAGATGCAGAGACCATAAAACATAACGCCTCTCTACTATCGTAGGCAGGGCATAAAAATAACAATCCCTTAATATGATTTCATCATGTATTATCTTTTAAGATAGCAGTGCTTGAACATTTCAAAGGGGATAACTGAGTGTAATTTGTTCGTAAAATATATTCACACTTCTGATGATATTTGTAGGTTTTGTTTTATATGCTAAAAATTGAAAATTATCCATTAACGAAACGTTCAAACTTGTTGTATTTCTAAGTGTCCTTGCACAAAACTTTGAATCTACTGACCTTTTTAATGAATGGTACACCAGACCATCCACTAGATAATTTGTAGAGACCTGATATGGTATTGGCTGTCTTCTCTAGAAGTTTGACCAAAAATGTTGATGAAGTTATATGAGCATACAATATTATTATTGTTTCAAAGACAGTTGATAGTATACTGGTTAGATTTGGGGATCCACCATCAATTTTTCTTGTTAGAGATCTCAACTGAAAGCATATAAAAAAAAGCATAATTTAAAGTTTAAAGTGTGACTTAGATAAATAACTATAGTTTTTATTCATACATAACCAACTTCATACTAATACCGACTAAAATTTGGCCTATGTTAATTTTCATAAACTTTGGATTAAAGATTAAAATTTGGGTATAAATGTAATATATATAAATCTTACGAGTAAAATTAATCTCTACTCATAGTATATACATGAATGTCATCTGATTTTCTTTAATACTTCTAATTGCCATAATTTTAATTACTACTATCAACTATCAGGAGCCTGTAATTCAGTGGTTGTCATTGGTTGTTGTTGTTTATATCTGTTTTTTGTTTATTATTGTCATAAATCAGGCTTTTTTTTCTTTTCAATTGTTTCGCATTATTGAGGCCTTTTATAGCAGACTATATAGATTTTGTTCATTGATAAAGGTTTTACAATGACCTATAATTGCTTAAATCCACTTTTGTGGGTATCTTATTGAAGAATTTTTGTGTGTGCTAATTTTGGGATGAGAGTAAAATGAAAATACAAAAACTTAAGATTTGACTACCTTTTGTGGACTAGACATGAAGTCTTCTGTTAACTCAGTGAAGACAACACTCAAATGACACAGCAAAAACTTTAGATTTAAATACCTTTTGTGGACTAGACATGAAGTCTTCTGTTAACTCAGTGAAGACAACACTCAAATGACACAGCAGATCAACAAATGATTGTAAATTTTCTAAAGGTTTCTGTTTCTTCTTAGCCCATTTAGCTGGACTTATACCACCTAAAATTAGTTATTAGAGAGAATATAACATTCTGAAATGGCCAATTTTATGATTTGCACAATGAATATATTTCAATTATATGTCTTTCAACTGCAGGTGTTAGCATAACTTTTGAAAACATGTACACAAATCAAAACTAGGAATTCACAAACTGTACTAACTAATTACAAAATATTTTAATAAATCATAAAAAAAACCATATTTCAATAAATAGAAGAACTTTAATTCATCAAAAATAAATTAAATTGATCATAAAATAGTCAATGTTAAATGCAATGAAAGGACCAAAACAATTTTTTAGAGTCTGCCAAAGTGCTTGGGTATTTTAAACTTCAGCTAGAAAACATCAATTTATTATCTAGAAAACATTGATTAATATCATCTTTCATACAATAACAAAATATGTAAAAGTATTTCACAACAATCAAAGAACAATCTCCTTGGCTCTAGTCATGCATATGGATGATGACACCACAGTTATACAGTCATGCATATGAATGATGACACCACATTTATACAGTCATACATATGGATGATGACGCCACAGTTATACAGTCATGCATATGGATGATGACACCACAGTTATACAGTCATGCATATGAATGATGACGCCACAGTTATACAGTCATGCATATGAATGATGACACCACATTTATACAGTCATACACATGGATGATGACGCCACAGTTATACAGTCATGCATATGGATGATGACACCACAGTTATACAGTCATGCATATGAATGATGACGCCACAGTTATACAGTCATGCATATGGATGATGACACCACAGTTATACAGTCCTGCATATGGATGATGACACCACATTTATACAGTCATGCATATGGATGATGACACCACATTTATACAGTTATTCATATGGATGATGACACCAGTTATACAGTCATGCATATGGATGATGACACCACAGTTATACAGTCATGCATATGGATGATGACACCAGTTATACAGTCATGCATATGGATGATGACACCAGTTATACAGTCATGCATACGCACAGTTATACAGTCATGCATATGGATGATGACACCACAGTTATACAGTCATGCATATGGATGATGACACCAGTTATACAGACATGCATATGGATGATGACACCACAGTTATACAGTCATACATATGGATGATGACGCCACAGTTAGACAGTCATGCATATGGATGATGACACCACAGTTATACAGTCCTGCATATGGATGATGACACCACAGTTATACAGTCATGCATATGGATGATGACACCACAGTTATACAGTCATGCATATGGATGATGACACCACAGTTATACAGTCCTGCATATGGATGATGACACCACAGTTATACAGTCCTGCATATGGATGATGACACCACAGTTATACAGTCATGCATATGGATGATGACACCATAGTTACACAGTCATGCATATGGATGATGACACCACAGTTATACCCTTATACTTTTTTGAAGCAAACTGAAATACATATTTGTATTTATATGTATTCATGAAAATATACCTATATTGAAGTTTCCAACAGTACCAACAGAACCAAAGTCCATACAGTTTATCATGGCCAAACATCCTTGTGCTACAAAATCTAAACCATTCAAATTCTGAAATTGGAAATGGGATATCATTTTTCTTTTATTTAAATGATAAGACTTTTTCTGACATAGTTTTAAGACTATAATACACAGTAAAACTTGCATTACTACCATGATTTTTTTTTTCAGATAAAAGCTTTGTGCAATTACTTGAGGTACAAAACTTTTTTTTCTTTGACAATTGTTTGGTACCTACAAAATGTTCTCTGGGCTGTTCCAGATCAGATTATTTGGTGGTCTTTTGATTTCACTTGCATATAAAATTCTATGGATGATTTGGAAAAAAACATATTTAAGCATTAAGTATATGATGAAACAACAACAAATTTCACTTCCGCTAATGTTCTTCACTAGTCCAGCATTCCAGTGAAGAGTCCCTGTTTGTAAATACCAGAAATCCAGGGTTGTTTTCTGGTAAGCATCATTATATCAAATTATCAGTAGTTTTAATTACAGCTAAACATTATCAACAATGAAATAAACAAATATATATCAATAAGACTTATTTATTTAACAATTTACTATATATATCATCTAGCCATTATTTTATGTTGTTTCCGGAAAATTTTGACTTGACTGTAGTTGTGCTATAGCAGAGTCACAGGTATTTCTAAATCAAAAATTAATTTTAGTTTAAAGAAAATTAAGATTCTATAAATATTTAATTTTAAAATTTTGCAAAATGTGAACATAAAATCATGAAATATATTGCCTCATTCAAAAGACAGAAAAATGTAATAAGTTTTGCCTTACTAATAAACAATCCTTTGCAATGTCTTTGAGTATTATATGACACAACTCTTCACAACAAACATTAGATTCAGCTGTGGTCACTAGTGCTGAGAGACGTGACAATGTGCTATATAACTCTGTCCAGGTCTTAACCATCGTCTTGTATGTTGGCTGAAAACAAAAGTGTACAGTTAACCTTTCAATACAATATTAGTGTGTTTTACAACCCTCTTAAAATGAACATTTTTTTCTTATAATTGACATTCTTGTGAATGAATGTAGGCCATTAAATGAAGATATATGCCAACCCCATATTAACAATAAGATAAAGAGAAAGAATTTATTTTGATAGCGATTTGACTTCCCTATGAAGTCAGTCGGCTGGCGAGTTTTAGTGATTTTCAAAAATTGTTTTGATGACTTAAATCGTCATATTCCCGGCAAGATCATGGCCTGACATATTTATTTTTGTGAGTAGAAAAAATACCCAAATATTAATCGTCACAAAAATGTCAGACTTGAATATTTTCCTAAACAAATACATAAAAAAATGTCATAAAAACGACGTCAACTTATATAGTCACAAAATCTGCTTTTGAGGGCTAAAGGCAAAATAAAGTAACCATGGAAATAAGTTTGTTTACAATAATACTTACTGCTTCCACAGCATGTGTCATCTTATATTTGACAGGGAAAGTCAACATGTTGTACATACAATTAAAGTTGTGTTCTAATGAATCTCCTTGGTTTATTTCATTGGTCTAAAAATACAATAACATGTCAACATAAACTAACACAATAAATTAATACACATATATGAAATAAAATCTGATTCATATGATTTTAAAATTTGAAATTTGTTACAAAGATTTCAATCATGCTTTAATGTGATATCTGTCACAAATATCAAATATTTTATCATATATATAAAATGATATGGGTAACCATTAATGAGACAGCTAACAAACAAAGTCTAAACATCTAGACAGTCTTTACAGTCCACAAGATGTACTTTCAGCTATTGCTCACTTATTATACTCCCATATATATCAAATAGATAAAACTTGGGAGTGGTTACCTTACTGTAAACCAAAAACATTCTTTTCTGTTTAATTATTTAGTGACAGAAAAAAGTTGAATAAACAACATACTTTTGTTATCTGATCATGTAAGCAGTTAGCTAGTCTACTCCATAGTCTCCAAATACAATCTGGTTCCTTGATGAATTCTCTGTTCCTACCCAATAGCTCTAAAACTGACTGACAGAACTCTAGGTAACCAGTTCCATTCTCCAAACCAACAGATGTCAAATTACTGAATATGGTCATATACCTTAATATATAAATATATTAACATAAATTACCTAATATTACAGTTACAATAGCTTCAAAGGCCTGTTATCATAATATTAAATAATCTTATAGGTGAGATTTGGTTTTTCTATTATCTTTTAAAAAGTTTCTCCACAATATAGGATTTATATTTCTGGGTTATTGAATATTCAAAGATGACAAAAGAGAACTGCAATTTCAATAAGAGCAACATTTTTGAAATCACCATAATTCAACGAATATCGCATGTTAGTTAAAAAGCTTTAAATTTTGTTTTGAAATTAAAAAAAAAGAAAAAGGTATTGAAAAATTAAGATGATTATTGGTAAGCAACAGTTAATTTTGTCTATTAATTCATAGAATCATCTGTAGTATTCTAATTTTCTACTTACTTTTCACTTCTCTGTGATCTGGACAAAACAGATGGAGTCAATAAAAGTTCCATCAAAAACAATGCAGGACTTCCCTGAAATATACAGTGAATTCCTGTTAATACATCTCTCTTTATTGACAAATCCATGGCAAATCATCTAAATTTTCAAAACAAGAAAACAACCAAGGAGTATTATGATTGACATTTATTTGTGAAATTTGATTCTATTCTAAGAGATATAACAAATCAATTATACCAGCCATGTATAATATCTTGATCGAATCTGCTGCACAATGTAAGTTTGGTTATCATCTTAAAATCTTTTCATTTATAACTTTTTTGCTTCAATTGTTTCACTGTACAATTTACAATAATATTTTAATGCAAATCTAATCTGAATACATCAATGTTAGTGTTCTGACAGAGTAACAGCAGCCTTATCTTGATGATTATACTATGCTAAGTACTGACTGACTTGACTGCCACAGCTGCAACAGAAGTAATAATGATCAGTTTAAGATTCTAAACTGACACATCTGTCACAGAAGTAATAATGATCGGTTTAAGATTCTAAACTGCCACAGCTGCAACAGAAGTAATACTGATCGGTTTAAGACTAAACTGACACAGCTGACACAGAAGAAGTAATAATCGGTTTAAGATTCTAAACTGCCACAGCTGTCACAGAAGTAATAAAGATCTGTTTAAGATTCTAAAGAAGACTGTCTGTTGTGAACTTCCAATTTATTGTAAACTGAGAAATAAATGTCAAATGTTCTTTCAAGTAAAAAAAGTAGGATGACTCTTTAAACAGCTTTGTATTTCCTTCCCTTTAATAAATAGCACTTACATGTATTTTCTCACCATTACTGATATTGTAAGCTGTAGATGACAAGGATTTCCTGGGTAAACAACAAACAGCGTCAAACATTGTCTAATAAAAATAAAACATTGCATTTAATATGTACCACTAAATATTTAGATATATTCACAACTAATTATTAATAGGTAATAACATAAAAATAACACATACTACATAATAAAATATACAACAGCTTATGAAAGGAATTGTCATAGTTAAACAACTGTATGTTATAAATGTTATTACTCTCTCAAAATCATCACAATTTTTTTATAGCTAGTCTTGATAATGCACCTAATTTTCTTTCACCTCGTATTTAGTATAAAACTATGTAGAAACGAACAAGGGTCCGGAAACGGTCATATTTGCCAGTCATGTCCTAAACTGAAAGTATTTGTCCTAAATGAGTAATTGGTATTTAGGACAAATTTCATTTTTTAACAGAAATAATTTCGGTCATTTCATTGACTCAATGTTTGAAATCGGATTTCTTAATCGCCATTTTGCACTTGTGATCACTTGTTTTTGTTTATAATCCCTTTCCTGTAATAAAACTGCCACTCCAGTATAGTTTGATAATCCTGAGGGCCCTCCTAATACATTTGTAACTATATCAATGCCTCCGGGAAACATTGGCTAATGACCACTTATTACTTTTTACCTGAGTTTTTAATTCACACCTGACATTGACCACAAGCTCAGAATGATATCTTAATGAAATCAAAATTCCCTGACAAGTGTATTCATTATTTAATTACTTTTCAGCAAAGATAATCATCAATTCTGATTTAAAATTAAACCTTAATTTTATCTAAGCAGAAAAAGTATTTTTTTCACGAGTAACACATGTGCTTTATTTACTATGTAATACGCATGCGTGAAGTTGTCTTCAGCAAATTAAATATTTAATCGTAAAATGCAAATTGATTTCATGCTAAAGTAAACGAATGCAACTATTAACTGTTATATTCAAACACTTTTACAGGTAATAAAATAAAAAGAAGCCGGTGATTTCCTGTCAATTTGATAAAAACAAAACGAATCCCGGAAATGAATCCGGAATTTTCCGTACTTTAATATTATCGTAAACTTCCGGTTTTAATTTTGTCAAATCAAAAGAAACGGTAGCAATGTCTGAGAAATTGACCATTTTGAGTCATTAAAATCATTTCTATTTTAAACTGTTGCATTCCCTAAACTATTCTTGAAGGTTTTTAGAAAAATGGTAAGAAATTTACTTGTAGTAAATGCGATGAAACAGTAATTCAAGTTTGTTGATGCTATGAATCAGGAACATGTATTTTATATGTTCCCAGTATGAATCTAGTTTGACATCGACATTGATGACGACAAAATTATTTGAAAAGGGGCACCAACTTTTCAATCATCTAAAAATGACCGAAATTGTGTGAAAAAATTTCCGGATCCTTGGTAACGAACACAACATTTTTCAGTTGATGAATAGCTTAATTATCAATAACTCAATGAAACTTTTAGTGGTCGTATAGTTTGACCACGTGATAACTTACCAAGATTTCTGGTAGTTGAGTAATTTGACTATGTGACCACTCACCAAGATTTCTAGTAGTCTAGTAATTTGACTATTAAATTGAAAACTCCCCCAGATTTCTGGTAGTTGAGTAGTTTAACAATTAAAGTGATTACCTACCAAGATTTCTGGTAGTTGAGTAGTTTAACTATTAAAGTGATTACTCACCCAGATTTCTGGTAGTTGAGTAGTTTGACTAAGTGATTACTCACCCAGATTTTTGGAAGGTGTAAAGCCTGACTCAACACTAAAGTTTGGAACTGTGTCAAGAAGAAGGAAAACATTTCTTTAACATCAGACGTGATTCCACTGTCAAGGACATTCTTAATATGTGCTATCAATGCAAACCAAATATGATGTAACACTGCCTCTGTAAAGAATCAAACAATTAAACAAAAAGTTATAAGATTATCATTGCTAAAATTCTATTTAAACTTCTTATGTTCCTTGGAAGAGACTAAGAGGTGTCTTTAACATGTTTAACTAGATATCATCTCTGTGGGCCCGCTGTGAAAAAGGTGTGGTAAAAAAATTGTATCTTTATCATTGGACATGGGGTTGTCAACTGAAACCAAAGTTTTTGACCTTGACCTTTGACCTAGGAAGTTGTATATAAATTATGACACACCCTCTGGTGTTGGTTTATATACATGTCAAGTATAAACTTTGAAACCATAACGGTTCTCAAGATATAGAGCAGACACAATTTGTTACAGACGGACAGACTGATCACTATAGGGCGTCCGCCATTCGGCGGGGCCCTAATAATATGATGATGGGGGTTATTTACTACCTTGACTGGCTATAAAGCCCTCGCACAGTCGGCTTTAATAATAACTTATGCATCTAAAGGGGTAATTGACCATTAAAATACAGCTCTAAGACATATGTTTAGTATAAAGTTCAATGTCCTTGTAAGGTAATGGAACATACTTCAATATTTGTCCGTAATGGGTATGAATTTAAATAGATATGTGATATATGTCAATAAGACAGCAACCTTACAATATAGGAAAACCAATAAAACACATTTAATGTTTCAATAGTTTTTTTTAATTGGATATGCATCACAATTTACTCAATGCCTAGCCCTTTCGCATCAAATTTTTAAACATAATAATATACTGACCTGTGGTAAATTCAAACTTTAATATATCTATAGTAGCTGTGATTAGTGGTAGTGAATGTTTAAGGAAAGATGGTGGTCCTGTTAGAAATTCTACTTTTGGAGATTCTGAAAAATAACACAAATTTTAAACTTATAAATGTATTTCATAATAAACTCACAGATTTGTTTATACATTGAAGTGATATAAATTTTGTCAAAGAATATTAGTCATATATATTTCGTTAAAAAATGCATAAAACCTTTTAAGTTTTAAGGAATAGGGGAAGATTGACTTTTTATTTTACAATTAGGGCTGGCACTTTTTGTCCAACCCCATCCATCCCCCAATCAGGAGTATTTCTTAACAACTTCTACCCAAAAAATGGTTATGCTTAACTTACTTCATATCAAATTTGATTAGAAATGCCTTTCCCTTAACAATAATTCTGGATTGATTGATTGATGTTTTATACCACTTTCAGCACTATTGTGCTATTTCATAGCAGTCAGTTTTTATTGGTGGAGGAAGCCATAGTGACAAGAGAGAGGACCACAACCTTCTGTAGGAAAACTGACAATCACAGTCAATTAAGATTAAAGTCGAGTCCACCTACCCTGCGCAGGGTTTGAACTCCCAACCTCAGTGATGACAGGCTAGTGATGCAATAGATTTACTTAGACCACTCGGCCACCGACGCCCCCTCAATGATTGTGGAAAGTAATGTTATAATTCCTATTTTCATTTTTTTTTTATGTAAAAAACAAAAGCGCTTATTCAAAATTCACTATCAGGAATTTTTATTTTTGTCAATCATTATTTAGTGGTAAGTACAAACTGAAACAGTCTATCATCTCTCTATCAGGTTATTCTTTTTCCATTTTGTCATTATCATGATATTCCTTTCTGTGCCATCAGGCAAGTTTAGCAAACTTAATGAATTACAATTCTGTTCGTCTTACCTAGTTGATATTTAACAGATGAACCACCTAGATCTGAAGGAAAGTCTCCAAAGAAATGACCTATAACTTCCCATGCATTTCTCTGTAGCTTATCAAACACAGGTAATCCACTACTAGAACTAGGTAGGTTTAGATGTGGTGTCATTGGACTTATACCAGTCTGCATACCTGTCAACAATAAAGTACATTTCATATCATTCTACGGAATACCATTGAAAATTACATACAGTGAAACCGTTACTGAATCTTTAAGATTTTATTGAGCAGAAGTTTAATATATAAATATGTTAAATATCAACATATGTTTATAAATTCTGTTCATATATTTTTTATTTTAATATTAAAGTTTGCGAAACATACTTAAAGTTCACTGAATATAACCAAAGTTTACTTAAAAGTAAACATAAGCTAAATATAGCCCAAGTTTGCAAAATATATAGATAAAGTTTGCCAGATATAGCTGAAGTTTACCAAAAAATGATCAACATTCTTTTGGTACTAGCATCGTGTTTTTTGGCAAACATGTAATCTGCTATGGTATGGTTTTCTTAACAAATAAAAGTAACAATAGTACTCGCCTCTTTATTACTTATAAATGGGTTTTATATAATTAAACTTTTATCTTACTTATGAGACTGACTATATAACACCATTCTTTATTACTTACGAGGAGTTCCAGTTGAGGTGCTGGTCTTTACTGATCCTCCAAGACAGAAATTCAGCAAGGGCAAACAAACCTAAATATAGTACAATCATTAATTTACTCTGAAAAAATGCGGACTCACTGGTTTTATCAATTTGTAGCATAAATGGGTAATGCATGTTTTATAAATGTAGCATTCAATAAAATACATGGAAACTACAACTAACTAACTTCCACTGAGATTGCAGCACAATCTTTAAAAACAAACAGGTTTATTTTGTACATAAATTGTTTTATAATTGTCATTCCAGGGCCTTTAATAGGTTGCTATGATGTATGGGTTTTGTTTATGTTGAATATAGTTGTTATCTTCAAAATGATTTGATTTCTGATAGAGAGTTGTCTCATTGGCAATTCTACCACATCTTCTTATTTTTATATCGTATGATGATTGCCGTTAAGCATTTGTCAGATTTTACATACTGGACCTGTGCTATAAAGTTGCTTGAATATACATTTCTATGGTTGGTTCTAGATATGAAAATAAGGAGATGTGGTATGATTGCTAATGAGACAACTCTCCACAAGAGACCAAATGAGACAAAAATTAACAACTATAGGTCACCATATGGCCTTCAACAATGAGTAAAACCCGTACCGCATAGTCAGCTATAAAAGGCCACGAAATGTAAAACGATTCAAACGAGAAAACTAACGGCCTGATTTATTTACAAAATAATGAACGAAAAAACAAATATGATATAAAGCAACAAATGACATCCACTGAATAACAGGCTCCTGACTTGGGACAGGCACATACAGAATATGGCGGGGTTAAACATATTAGCAGGCGCCAAACCCTCCCATAACCTGGGACAGTGGTGTAGCAGTACAACATATGAACAAACTATAAAAATCAGTTGAAAAGGGCTCAACTCATCAGATTGATACAAAGCAGAAAAACAAGTAACAAAAACACAGAGTGGACTTGGCAGGTTACTTGTACATCCCCACAACAAAAAGACACTAAGTACAGATCTGAGGGTAATCACTGTTACTGACAGCTAGTTCAAAGCCAATAACAACTAATAAAAAAAAAAAACATGCACCTAAGACTAAAATATCTAGAACATATTTTACTTTCAGAATAAGCTAAAAATTCTATGGATGGTGGGGCATCAGAAAAGTTGACTTAGCAACCTGCAGATGTATTTTTTCTCTAGGCATAAAACCAACCATTTCTTTGTAATCTTTAACCCTTACCATGCTGAGCCCGTCATATGACGGGATGACCCAAACCACCGTTATTTGTCTCCAATGGCTCTCCATACTTTTAGAGGTCAACTTTATGATACTTATTTCGAAATTGATGCATGTTCCCTCAACCTGAGGCTATCTATTGTCATGTTTCTCATGTTTAAGTTGCATTTTGAGCTCAAATACAAACTTGGAAAATTGAAATCGGATAAAACTGTTTTTTCTGGAGGGGTGGGCTTCCCTTCTGTGTCTTACACAGGAAGTTCAGAAGCCTAAAACTTTCAAAAATAGTGTAAACCCGCAGGCACATATCTACTGATCATAATTATTATTGAAATACGCAGAGGAAACGACTACTTCCGGTTTCAGGTCCAGTTGAAGTCCAAAATTGGAAAAAATCGTGAAATTCCGTATTTTTTGTCCAAATGACCTTCTTTAGACTGGTGTTCCCAGATCAGTTTCACTCCAACCTAAGAACTGTTGGGGTTAATGTGTTTACTGGGGTCCACTGTACATGCAGACTACAGCTGGATACCTATATCAGCATCCCTTGGTCTTTGTGGTCAAGAAATAGGACGAAAAATCGTCAAAAATGATGCTTTTTGCACCTGATGACCAACTTTGGGGCAAATTTCCGCCCACCCACCCCCACCTCCTCACCCCAACCACCCAGCCCCGTGATCCCCTACCTTAGATTTAAAGAAATTAATATGCTTCAGCAGCAGGATAAAGCTCATTTGCATATCATTTGCATATTTTAGCAAATAAACGAAAATTAGACTTTTTCTGAAAACAATTCAGCATGGTAAGTGTTAATGACCAATATTTTAGCATTAACCAATTTATCTTTAATTTCTTTATTGTGATTTGATGGACAGATAAATCATATTTTTACAATTTCATTATAATGATTAAAGTTGTCAAAATCAAATGCTTTTACCAGAACTGGAATGATCCTTAAATTGGTTTTACTAGCATTCATTTTTAATATTTGTATTTGTAGATTAATAAAGTTTTTGATCAATGCTTGGACATTGACTGACCAACTTAAAAATCAATACAAAGACGGATGAAAATTTTGTAAATGAACAATATATACCTGGTCAAAATAAACTGCAGCTTTGCTACCCAGCTTGGTTATGAAGAACCACCATATTTTAAACTTTTCCACTGCCACTGGCTCAGTTTTAGCATTGTTAAACTTGAAAACTTGCATTATCAACTTTATACGTTTAGAATCTGACAAAATGCCTGTAGAAATAAATATCAAGTTTGAATTCTTGAAATTGGCATATGTATGTGTGTTATATAAGAAATTTAAAGTATATGTGAAATAGACAATAACCTTTTGCTTCAAATGTGAGAATAAGGAAATCTGTTGTTTTACAGGATACATCAATATGGTTAAGTGGATGTATAAAAACAGTTACTACATCCAAAGATATCATTCAATTTAAACCCTGTACAAACTACAAAGCTTTTAGTTAATAGGGGATATGGATCAGTTACTCACTGCTTAAAGCCAAGCATCAAATAGCACTTTCATATGCATAATCATACATCATATAGTAGGTTCTTACTAAGCCTGATAATTATTGAATAAAATAAGTTTGTCATCTGTGACAGGAAAAAATTTAGCAACTTCTTGAAATTTACATATTTCAGTGGAAATTTTATTATCTGTTTCTGGAGATGTAAATAGGCACATATAATTGAAGAATTTTTTTCTGGAAACTTATGCGAGTTGAAAAATGAAGTGTTATTTGTTTCTGGAAATTTATAATGTCAGTAGAGAAGTGATTTGTCCTTTTTTCTGAAAATTTAGAATGTTAGTGGAGAAATAAAGTGTTATTTGTTTCTGTAAATGTACATACTGATGTCAGTAGAGAAATTAAGGATTAACTGTTTCCATGCTCTGAAAGCTTCAATCTTTACTTCTGCATTTATACTTTTAAATCCTTCCTCTACTAATGGTAACATCTGGTTGATAAAATTGCCATTATGTAATTCCTGAAAAGAAGAAAAATAGAAATATTAAATAAATTCAATTTTGCATTAATACACTCTCAATATAAAGCTTTACCACTCATATCAGGCTGTGTAAATTTTTAAAAAAAGTATTCAGAAATATTTCCTTTCATTAGTAATTAAATTTAATTGTAAAAATAGGAAATATAGATAATGCAATACTTCCTGTTTATCTAAAATTCAAAACATAGAAAAACTTGCTAACCCTATCGATGTATTAACTGTTAGTATATATACTATATAAGCTGCTAGTATTCAATAAGGCCTCAATTTTCAATTTACCGCATTAAATTAAATATGAAAATTACTTAGGCCTAAAAAAAATAATCTGTGTTTCCGGTAACATCATTTTGAAAATAGGGTCGGTAGGTCGGACTTTTTTTTTTTTTGACATTGTAAACGAAATCCGGAAAATTATCATAGTTTTTCCAAGTCCGGGTCCATAATTAGTTTCAAATACCGGAAGTGCGGCCATTTGCAATGTTTTTGAAGCACCTGCTGTGCAAATTTCTTGGATTTTAACCTATTTGGAATACCTTTTGACATAAATAAAATGTTTTACTGGCTTTCTGTGCCAGTAGAAGCAAGTTAGATAAATAATTATGTCGATTAACAGAAGCCTGTGTCAAAAACAGGGTCGGTTGATACCTTTTTTTTTGAAGATCCAATAAAAAAATTAGGGTCGGGGCTAAAAAACAGGGTCGGTCGGGTTACCGGAAACACAGATTTTTTTTTTCTCGGCCTTAGGAATGTCTTTAAACAGTATAAGAACTTGAAATCATTCCAACAAAATGCTTTTTATCAACAAAGTAAAAAAGAAAACCTGAAATTAATTCTAAATGAAATAATAAGAAAAAAAAATCACTGGTAACATTTCTTTAACTTGCTCCGAGTTACACATTCCATAAACCTGAAAACTTGAGAATGAAAGCCAGGAAAAGGCAAGAAATACAAATCATTCAATAAATCGAATATCAAATATATTATTGACCTCATGCACATTTAAATGTTGTTGATTTGTCATGCATAGTTGCAAGGATCCTTATCTAGAAAGCTAAACAAAACTTTAAAAAAAATAACTAACGAAGCATAACAATGAGGTCAGGGTTAGATGACAAAACTTATGAGAAAAAAGGGATACAATATAAAGATATATACACTGGTTGATCCATTATTATCTCTTAAATAATACCCAAGTCTCTGTGACTTTGTTGTAGACAAGAATTGTCTTTAACATAATGCCACTTTAGCAATCAAATTTTTAAAAATTAGGAAGCCTATTCATTTGATCTTCATGTTTAAGTCAAATATGTGATTAGCACCAGTTTGGATGTTTAGCCCTTTAAAGAACTCATGCTACTTTCATCCTCAAAATAAAATAAGATGTGGTATGATTGCCAGTGAGACAGCATTCCATGAATATCGGGGAACATAGATGTGAACAGTCAAAATCATTTTAAACTTTGTAACATGAATTTTATAACTGATTTATTTACTGCATTTATGTGAAGACAAGCAAAATAGTCCAAAATGACTGTTGAATGTTAAAAAATAAAATTAATTCTATATTGTATCCTGTTACCTGTAATGTCTGAAAAAAAAACCATAAAACTAACTAAAACTTAGCTCTTTTTAAAAAGTGAAACAGTTTGTGTCAGATTTGAAGGCTTTTCTAGGATTTGTAAAAACTTCATCATGCCAGAAAAAATCTTCATACAGAAATGTTTAAAACATTTCAGATCAAATCTGCTTTAAAATCTGTAGTTTTTTTGTTTTTTTTTTGTTTACAGTAAAACCATAACAATTTGTATTAAACTATTGTTGAAGTGAAATTTAAAAAATCAACATGTGAACGAACAAGTGATAATTCATGAACTAATGTGTTGTTTGGTCATTCATTTTTTTATATTAGAATTCTAGGTTCTAGCATTATTATTCTATAAATAAACATACATTCTGTGTAAACAAAAAAATTGAACTATTACAAATTTCTACAATAAAGGTATAATTCATTGGGCTACTTATCCAGTATAACCATATCAACTTACTTTCCCCAGAACATGCACATACAATGACCATAATCTTAAAGCATGAACTTCCTGTTTCTCACTCATCATTTTCTTTAACTCTGGTCCAATAGCCTAAAATAAATAACATGTTTGGGCGGGTTAATATTGTCTACTTTAAATTTGATTTTCAAGTTGTTATAATCTATCACAAGCGTCTTCTTTATCTGTGCCTATAATCAGACCGTTGATCTATGTATTCTCTTAATAAATTATAGGCTCAAATTCTGCATTGCTCACCTGGTATCTATACATATGTTTGACACAGTCAATTGAACAATCCAGGAAAGGGAAAATTGGTATCTTAACATATTTTCCCATAAAGATCCTTTCAAAGACAGGTTCTAATTGGTCAAATGAAATGACAGACATCAAGTACACCAGCCCTCTTTGCCAGGTAGCCAATAAAAAATGTGAAGTGCTTCCAATTTTGATGATGTCTCCTACAAACTACATAACTAAATATCCATTCAATCAGATTTTTTTGTCATAAGTTATATCATAATTAATTATTTGTATGCAGCATTTCCATAAATTGTAATAATCAAAATCATTTCCATAAATTGTAATAATAAAAATCATTTCCATAAATTGTAATAATAAAAATCAAATGTTTGTCATTGATCAACTATTGCAATAATTTACAGTACATAAATTGTAATAATAAAAATCAAATGTTTGCTATTGATCAACTATTGCAATAATTTACAATACATAAATTGTAATAATAAAAATCAAATGTTTGTCATTGATCAACTATTGCAATAATTTACAGTAATTGAATATAAGACACATTTAACTAAAATTTTTGTGTTAACATACCATTTTATATTCATCCAAAACTGGTTTCGACCACAAAATGACATTGTCCTTTGTAAAGACTTCCCTTGCTATAGATAAAAGTTGAGATCCAATTTGAGGAACCAGATGAACCAATGATAATAATGTTGACTTTCCCCAGTCTCCAAAATTCTCTTTCATGCCTTCTGGGTCTTGTTGATATAGCCTGAAATATATGACCTTCTGTTAAAATGTTGGTTCTTATTTCTAATAATAAAATCAAAATTAAAAAAAAAAAAAAAATTAAAAATTAAAAAGTTGATTCCCATAAAATTTCTGCTAAGTAGTAGCAAATAATTAAAGAAGGCTGTGATTGCTCAATGGACCTGCCTTTTCTTATTTCCATTTTCATTTACGTGATTTTCTAAAATATCAAAAATTTGTCTAGTGCTGATTGTTTTCATTTGATTTCAAAATTTTATCAAAATAAATGCATGACTGCTCTTTTGTGAAAACATTTAAAATTATTTCAAGTATTCTGGCTAAAAAATTAACTATTATAATTGAATCCTGAAAAACCTTAATCAATAACATTCACATGAATATTGACTAATCAGTTTAACTCTAAAATACTGTACCTTATAACAGCCTTAGAAGCTTCATTTTCAACTGTAGCAGATTTACTGATCCATCTGTTCCAGACCTTACCAATAGCTTTAATCAACTTGGTCAACTGTAAATTATAATAAAAGTCTATACTATGAAGGTGTAAAAAGACCAAGGACTGGAAGCAAATGGTCTTTTGCTGTTACTCCTGACAAAGTGATTGATTGATGACTGTTTAATACCAATTGGCAAATATATAATTACATGCATATTCCAGACAAGAACATGCAGGAGTTAAACAATTTTGTTACAGCTCACTAGCCAAGGACTTATTGGTAGCAGGATTTCACTAGCCCTTTTGAATCAACTGCTATCCCATCAAAACTGACCTGCTAGCCCGAGTATACCTTACAAATTCAGAGTTTGCTGCATAATAAAAAGTGTGTGTCCCTGATTTTGAAGGCAGCATTATACACTGTATTTAATAAAATAAATCAAATAAATGTTTGTTTTATTAATTATAACAAGGATCTTAAGACATCTTTTTGGATTTCTGTTGTACTATGGGTTGTTCAATATTTTCCCGCACAGAAAACATGTTTATTAGTACTGTCATGTGAAACCAGCGGTTCAATTCGTATATTTGTTTTTCCCACATACAAAACAGACTTTATTAGCGTGATCAGGAAAATAACGACAATATTCACAAAACATTGTCTCCTGTTTAACATCAGCAACAGCCGACCTTGAACAGGGGAATCTTTCTGTCCATGACACTATAAATGTTCTTTTCTGCTTTTCCCGGTCGTATTTGGCGTTTTTTGGGATGAATTCGAGCCTCAATACGCTCTTCCTACCGTTTTTCGTTTTGAAACTGACAAAGTTCATGGGATGCCCGTACTAAAATATTTAGAAATATTTTGTTGCATGGTTTCGTGCTCAACAGCTGTCCGACAAGACAGGTCAATATTGATCAATGCATCATGCCGTGCCCACCACTGTTAATTAAAAATCACCGAATAAGCAATGTACAATACCCCCTGTACTGAGGAATCAATATTGAAGTATGGGAATTGCGATCAATACATGATAGGTCACAAGGAAATAGTCTGCAATTAGTCCTATCCCCCAAAACAGACACATTATTCTGACTCAAGGCTTACTTCTATATGTTGGGTGCTTAGGAGAGAAGTAGCTAGTACAAATTTAATAGTGTTTGGTTTAACCTGGCCAAGGAGGAAACACATGACAACTCATTCCTATGAAAACATGCTATCACTAAACAACAGGGGCAGTTCTATTGAAGTAGACATTATGCATTATATGTATTTTGCTTAAAAGTGATGATATTCTAAAATTAAGTACAAAGAAACTGTAGAATTAAGTGTTATGTGAATCACCATCTTAGTAGTTTTGCTGATTTCAATCCTCCCATCATATGTTTTAAAAACTTGTAAAAATTAAAACAAAACCAAGAATCAACACTTTTCACCTTCAACTTGTAAAGTATACTAAATAGATTCATCAAGGATCTGCTGGAAAATATTTAATTCCAGAGAATTTACTTGAATTATTGACATGGATGTTGATAAATTCATTTCTTAATCTAGATTTAAGTGATCTAGTGATCACAGATACCCTTGCCCACAGCATAATTCTTAAACAGTAAAATGCCCACTGTCAAAATCAAACTGGGTTTGTATAATAAGGTCCTTTTCATGCCAAATTATACCCTCATATACAAGAAAAATTAAATTAAAAAAAGTCCAGACAACTATGCCACAGGGAACAAGGCAGAAATACATTCACTTTAAAATGGAAAACAGTAAACACAATATTTATAATTTATGTAAAAACATGTAAAAAGGCGAATACAAAGCCAATTTTTTTAACAATTAAAATCCTACAACTCAGGAACACCAGGTCAAAAATTATTTAAAAACAAAATCAAATGGAAGTGTGATATATCTGAGTGTTAAACATTTTATACAAGTTACATACATGTAAAACATGACAGATTTGAGAAATAGGAGCAGCGTGATTCCTTTTACACCACATTAATTGAGAACTTGATTTCCTACAAACCATAGTTCTAGAGTACAAGTTTGACTCACCTCTGATTTGACAATAAAATCACTTAGAACTTGGTTTCCAATACACCACAATGCTCTAGTACATGCTATTTTATCTTCACAAAATTTTCCAATACATTTTTCAATGGCAATCAAGCATTTTGTTTGAAGTGGGTATCCTAATGACCTGAAATAATTTTCAAGATAGAAACATTCCTAAATATATTATTATAACTATCTGGTGTTTGAAAGAACATATGTAAATGTATATGTTGGTTTATTAAGAAGGTAATTATAAATTTGTTTAGATACTTTAGCTCCATAATGCAATTAACGTGATATAAGGAAGTTTTAGAACTGTTGCCAAAATAATGCATACTGACACTGAAAATATATACAAAAGTATACTCTTTACAGTATTTTCAGTGTTCTGTTCAGTTTTACAATTAGAATTGAATTTCGCTGATTTTACCAAATTTTCAACACAAGACAGCTTGGGACCAAGCATCCAAGAATGGGATATACTAACCTATTTAAGGTATTACATTAATATCCCAAATGGGATAGAATTTTAATGTGCACATTTTTTTTTATACTGATGAAACTATAAATTTAAAGTGTGTTTGCTTAGATTAATACTTGTAACTTTTCCAGAATCTGAATAAATTGCTAGATTTTGTTAAGGATCAGTCTCATAAACAGTTAGATATCCAGAAAAGGTTTTGCTTTTAACTTGTTAATTGCACTTTGTAATATTTCCCCATAACAGAAAAAAATAGCATAGTATATCTAAGGATTATTATAGTATCATTAAATCCTTTGTTTATCAAACTCCAAGCGAATCATTATTCAGGTAATAATTAGTATTGTTGGGAAGTCATTCAGGTGTCCTTCTGAAGGGGAAGGATCACAGAAAATAATCTGTTATGCTTCTTTCCTGGCCACTTCCATACTGCTTAGAAGTTTAACATGCTGTGAATATAATTCAACTATAGCCAGAGTACCATCATACATACGCAATAAGTAACAAGTATCGAAAAAATGCCTTCAAAAATATACATGATCACTACGAAGACAGTAAGAGAATTTTCCCAAAACTGAACTTGTGATGTCATTCTATTCTATAAACATAAATATACTACGGCCATGAATGAGTTCTGAATTCATTTCTTACCTTACTATGTCTTTGTCATGAAGACAAAAACCTAACACATGTAGAGCACCATGGCTAACTTTGGGATGACTATCCAAAATATCTCTTATTGCCATGGTTACCACCAGTTTTCCATGTTTAGACAGGTCAAGGTCAAACAATGACAAATCATCGTCTTTCATGTGCCTGTAAAAACAGAAGAATAACTTAATACATTGTACATTTTGTTGTAGCTTGAAAATAAATCATGTGCTGAAGACTCAGCATTATGTGTAAAATGTATGTAGTCAAGTAATAAAGAGGTTCAAAAATCAACAAAAACAGAAAAAAATAAAACAAATTTTAATATTGAGGCCAAGGACATAATTAAATATTGTAATGCTCTTGAATATTGGTAAAGATTTGTTTATCTAACATTTTACTTTTATCAATTAACAGCAGCCATCCGTTTGATTTCAACTTATTTTGTCATAATACAGAAGCTATTGATTGATTAATTAGTGTTTAATGCCACTTTTAGCACTATTGGCAATTTTGTGGCAGTCATTTTTATTGATGATTCTGACAGGGGTCAACTTAAGCACTGGCCCGCTGGCCCAAGGCTAGTAGAATTTTGATAGGGCTAGTTGAACATAAAGACTACTGGCCCCATTGGCCATTACATTTGACTATATTTTCACTTAGATAGTATTATTAGGGTAAACTTTATTTGAGTTGGGCCAGTAAATTTACGCTCTAACAGGCCCTATTGGCCATACTTTTAAATTTTGTTAAGTCGACCTCTGGATGAAGGAAGCCAGAGTGCCCAAAGAGAACAATAGACCTTCAGTAGGGAACCTGACAATCCTAGTCAATAAAGACTGGAGTCGAACGTACCTGCCACCTGCGGGATTCGAACTCACAACCTGTTTTGACAGGCAGGCCTGGGGCCATTACATTGAAATGTAATGCATTACATTACAATTACTTTGTGATTCTTCCATTACAATTACAATTACATTTTTCTCACATGTAATGCATTACATTACACATTACTTTTTCAATAACATTTAAAAAACAGATTTTTATAAGAAATTGATAAATATTACCGAGGTATATGTACATATATATACAGTGTTAGTGACACAGACTTCAAATGCTTGAAAAAATAAATAAATTATCATATAATTATGTTTCTAACATTGATTACTTAATCATTAAGACATCATAAAGGGATTTCAAAGGGATATAATAAATATGCAAATAAAGGATTATCTTGTTATATGCCTAAGGGCTCTGTGAGGACAAACATAAGTTGAGAAGATTTGATTGCAATAAAAATATTTTGATATTAATTAGGTAAAATAACAACCACAGTTTGGTGTAAAAATGTTGATTGACATATTCAATCTTTCATTGAAATACATGTAAGGTGTGTATAGAATTATGAAAATTTCATCTTCATATTTTGTCCATTCATCTATATAGTTTTGTTTAATAATTATTTTTAGAAGATTTTTGAAGTGCAAACTATCTATAATGATTTAATACAGTAATTAACTGTGACAATAATGTTATTCGATATTTTCTTTTGTTTTGTTAATACTTTATTTTTATTTTACTATATTCTTCAATTTTATGTATTTTACCAATTTGTAATGACAAGTAATGTACAGTAATGGAGGCATTACATTGATTTTTAACTAAAGTAATCATTACATTACATGTAATTGTAATGCAGAAAATGTGCATTACAAATTACTTTGCATTACATAAAAAAAATGTAATATTACAATGCATTACAATTACAAATTACCATTACCCCAGGCCTGTTGACAGGCTAGTGATACAGTAGTTGGACTGAGACCACTCGGCCATTGAGGCCCCTTACACAGAAGCAAAGCTGGTTAACTATAACTTAAATTGAGAATAAAATAGTTACAGGTCCCATGTGTTGATGGCTTCTGGATTTAGACTTACTTTGTCACCTGACTGTAGGCATCAGCTTTGTCTTCATGGCTGCTGGACTCATGCTCTAATATTGCTACAACAGCAGCTAAATTTATATCTACAGACTTTGTTGAGGCCATTTTTCTGAAAGTTAAATTCAATTTAAATATATCTTGGATAGTGTACAAATGGTTGATTTAATATTTATAGACCAACACAGTGAAAAATGGAACTTCTTGGTCAACTGTATCTTAGTTTTAATGTCTAAAGCAGGTCATAATCACTCAAAAAATTCACAGTACAGATTAATTATTATGACAGGGCCCTATAAAATATAACAGAAAAAGGGTAGGGCACCAACAATTTCTACTTAAAGGGCAGGGCAACATTCCCTCCCAAAACAACTGCAATACTGACACATTAAGCCAACAATTTTGTAAGTATACAAGCTTTCTGTTAAAGCCTAAAGGGTCTCTAAGTATTGTGTTTTGGACAAACAGGCAAAGACTGCAGCACAAGCAACAGAAGACCATGATTACTATCAGTGTTCTCCCCAGGCTGTTTTAGCGCTGCGGTATTCAGCGCTATCGGAATTTTCCGCTGTTCTATTGTACTGAGCCCAGCGCTATCCAAATCAATCACGTCGCTATATTTTTTTCCGATTTTTAAAAGAAAAATTTCCCACTAAATTATTACGACAATCACGTGATCGTCTGGTTTACTATTTCTGAATATGTTATTTGCCTTGTATAAAGTAACATCGCGGGACCAGTTTAATAAATTTTTTAAAATGGTGTCTTTGAAAGATCAAAATAAACAAAGAAATCAACATTATAATGATTATCATCTATTTTAAGAATTAAACAGAATATTGAGATGAGAAATCATAATGTTCCAAAATGTCAAACTTCTGTCAAATGTTGCAAGATTGATAGTACACTGCTCCAGTGGGTTACAAAACGATCCATTTAAAGATGATTTTCTAAATTTATGTTTCTCAGATTTGGAAACTTTTGAAATAAATTTTGTAAGAATTATAATCTTTGTGAGCTATGAGGAAGACACTCTAAAACAAAATGCAGTTCATTTTCTATCAAGTTTAGTGAACAGTGTTGACAGAGCCTTTCACATCCTACATGTTCTACAGCATCACCTGTTAAGAAATCTTCCCATTGCCAGTCTGGTGTTGACCCTTTATGAAATTTATTTCTGTACTTATTTTTACTTGATTATCTGACTTTACAATTGAGATAAAAATGATTCTTCATCTTTTTTCAAACCATAAAACATTTACAAACAAATGGGTAACTTCCATCAGGACAACATTACAAGAGCAAACATCGCAGCATATTGTACAAAAACATAATCACAAACAAACTGCACGTCGCGACAAAGTTACTGAGAATAGTCAAAAATCACGCGCTTACCACAGCGCTAACAAAAAATCCTGGGGAGAACACTGAGTCTTTAATTGAGGAAAAATCTCATTAGACATTGTGACGAGAAGATATAAGCTTTCTGAAATAATTTTTTTTCCAGGAAAATGAAACAATACACCTTATCGCTATTTGTCCGCCATTACTGGACATCACACAAGTTCCCGTAAAATTTTGACGTCATAATAGAAAATATCTGACGCCACAATGGAAAAGTGATTGTTGTATGACGTCAAAAGTTCGAGCGGGACTGATTCTCGGGTCAAGCGGGATTAGCGATAAGGTGTATTAAAAGATTGTGAATCCCATAACTTGGCACAAGGGATTAGTTGTACAGGTTGGTCTGGGGAATAAATATTTGTGTAAACACAAAACCTGCCCACAGGTTATGATAAACCTAAATTTTCCTGTATGTTGACAGACTGGATTTACTACTGTAGACATACTTGCCAATAATACTTATTTTATATTGCAGCTTATAATCACGCGTTGTGAAATGGCTACTTTATCGATGTACACGATGTTTCCCACGCATAATACAAATTTGGAATGCAATTAAACAGGTGTGGTGGTTTATTCTTTTCATGATTTTCTTTGTTATTTGCAATAACTTGAATTAAATTTAGTAACAACATACTTATTTCAATGTGTATTCATGGTCCTGTTGTCCGCGGGAAATGTACATTTCGTTGATATTTGATTGGCTAACATGACCAGGATGTCTAAAATTTTAACTAAAAGTTGTACCGTTACCGGAATGTCTATTTCCGGTCAGATGTTTACACCTGTTTAATATTACGCAGGAAGAAGGTTTAAAGAGCTCCAAAAAGTAAAAATAATTTCAGAAATCATAAAAATTATCTTTCTATGATGAGTTTATTTAATTTTATTAACCTAACAAAATTTGGTGCCCACTACGACATAAACAGGTTTTGTTTTAGTGACCTTTTATTTTCAAGTTTATAAAGTTGTACAAAGATATAAAAAATGTACCAAGAAGGCCATTAACATTCGTTTTCATGAATTTCTCTTTTTTCTTATTTTCATTTTGTTTGAAATGTTCCTGATATAACTATGCTGATGACAACGTGGTGCTGCTATTCAGGAATACACTGAGTAATTATTAATAATTATGAATTACCGTGAGTACTCACTATAATATATAATGTACCTATTTAGTTCAAGTTTTTGCAAATAAAATGCAAACTAACCAAGACAAGTAAATAAATGGGACTAAATTGGTTCCAGTAAAATTCAACCTATCTCTTTTGTTAAAAAAATATCTCACGTGACAAACAAGTTGTATTTGAATTAAGTGGTAAATCTTTATTACTCGAAGATGAGTGCCACAATAGATTTTAAGGACAATAAGTTTTCATTAATGTATAGCAATACATATTTAGTTGTCAGTGTTTAAATTTATCAAAAATAAAATCAATGTAAGTACAGATAAATACAATATTCAAAGAACTTACCGTAACGAGGCCTCGGTGGTCGAGTGGTCTAAGTAGTTGATCTTATCACTAGAGGTTGTGGATCCCGCACGTGGTAGGTGCGCACGACTCCAATCTTAATTGACTAGGATTGTCAGTTTTCCTTCCGAAGTTTGTTGGTTCTGTACGCGCACTTCGGCTTCGTCCTCCAAAAAAAACTAACCGCCACGAAATAGCACAATATAGTGCTGAAAGTGGCGTTAAACACCAACCAATCACTCAAAGAACTATTAAGATGTTGATATCCTTTAAGAATAAGTTAATTGAAAAGATCAATGAGTTTACATGCATCGTATATAGATTTACGGGCTTTATAAACAAAACTACCGTACAAATTAGGATGTCTTATCCCGTTTTTATTAAGAAGTCTACGGGTACAACCAAACTTTGAATCCAAACATTTATATCTATGAAAGAATTTAGTAAAAGTTTTGAGTAATTCATGGCAACAAATTCCCTGACTTAATGATTTGCCAGTTATACATAGATTACGTTCATTGAAATCTTAACCGTCATCACAGACATGGGCATATCGAACGATTTGTTAAATAGGTACATCGTAAAAAAGAACCAAAGGAACATCACCGCCCAAAAGGGAAAAGTAACGAAAATTCATCTCTTTTGTCGTTAATTTTTGTTTCAATTTTCCCCTGTGAAACTGAAATATCCAAATCAGATGAATGACACTTGGAAATTATCTTTAAACCAAAAAAGTATTTTTGCAACATGCCCAGAGGGGATGCTCAGAAAAAGACACCCGATCTACCTTAAGTAATTACCGCAGTATAATTTTTTTTAGCAAAACTATCATCAAGGTAATGGTCAGTATTAATAAATTATCAATTAGATGGAATTTAATTTGAATCCTTTGAATTTAAACAGATCTTTACTGAGTTTGGTCATACACTGCGAGTCACAACAATACTGGCGCAAGTCTGCCGTTGAAGGGACGCAATTGGTGCCAATATGAATACATACAACATTTAGATACACTTTATTGCCAAGATGTTTTTTTTCCTTTCCATATTCTTTTTTCTTCTACAACTCTCTTGCTCTTTCTCATTCTCGTACACATTCTTTGGGGTATTTTTTCGTTTCATTTAATCAACGTTTCTTTCCCTTTTGCTTCTTCATTTCTAACATCTTTCAACCCTTTTCTTCCTCTTGTTCTTTCACTATTCTATTTACCAAACGCATTTTAAACGCGTAAAACACGAAAGACAGGAGAAAATAAGTGTGAAGTGGAATCAGGTGTTTTACGTCTAAGGGGTGTGTGATTTGTGTAGAACATTTAGGACCTTAAACCGGGATATAATTGTCCTTTTCTAGATTTGAAAATTTCAGTTTAAAACGGGAAACATTTTTAAAAAAGTTGCAAAAAGAGCGATTTTTCATACCCTATTGTTAATTTTCCTTTTTTGGACGGTAAAATTTCTTCGATCCCTTCTTTCGGTGTGTATATCTCTCATCTCGTTCGCTATTACCTTGCCTGAAGTAATTGTTTTATAGATTCCATGAACGTAATCTATGTATAACTTGTAAAATATTAAGAATTTCGACACAACATATTACTTAACTCTTTACTAAATTCTTTCATAGATAGAACAATTTGGTTAGGAAGTTTGGCTGTACCGGTAGAAACCTGATTACAACCGGGATATCATATCCTATTTTTAAGGGGATGTTGTTTAAAGATTCAGTACATTTAGATAAGATCCATGTTAATTTATTGTTCCGTTGATACTCTTGTGTTGACATGAAATATCGTTGATACAATTATTTTCTGTAATAAACTGTTTGTAGAATGTTGAATTATTCGAAACACTAAGGTTCTGAGAATAGATGGCCTAAGCCAGATTATGCATAAATTTTTGAAATTTTATTTTTCAATACTCTTCAACTTCACATTCGCTTTTTGGCATTCTAACTGTTTTGGTGCGAGCGCCGCTGCTGAGTCACGTGTAGACGAAACGTGAATCTGGCGTTCCAAATCATAGACCAGTTATCTTTTGATGACTTTTTACAACCACTGTTGTGAACGTAATCACCAACCCAAAAGTCAAAATATCTAATTATTCGACTAGGGTTTTATTTTCCCAGGCATAGATTTTCTTAATCAAATTTGTCATGCATACTTTATTGTAATTTTTGGTTTTCAAAGATCTTCAACTTAGTATTCATTTTGACTTTCCAACTTTTGTGATTTGAGCGCCGCTACATGTAGTTGAGTATATGTAGACTTACCCGCCAAGTAGTTAGCACTCTGTGTTGACATGAAATTTCATTGATACTGCCATTTTCTGAATATTAACTGTTGATAAATTGTTGAACAATTCGAAATCTGAAACTTGTATATCCCCAGGCACAATTGGCTTTAGCCAGATTTTGTTTAACTTTTTGGAATTTTTGGTTCTTTATACTTCTCAACCTCGTATTTGTTTTGGCCTTCAAAATATTTTGATTCGAGTGCCATTGATTAGTTTTATTTAAACGAGATGCGCATCTTTCGTTCCAAATTATAAGTAACGGTTAGTCTACGAAAAGGTATATAATATAAAACTTAGAGCGAGGGGTAGTGGTCATTCATGCGCAGTTAATTTGTACACGGAAATAGTATGTACTATGAAACTTAGAATGTAAACTCAAGTTACTTGATTGGACAAAGAGTTGTAACTATGTGGTAAGCCAGGTATCTTTGATGAGTTTAAAAAAAATCGGGTTGTTGGCAATCACTTTTTCTATCTGCAACGTGTCACAACCAGTGTAGCTAATAGATGTGTCAGCTGAAAACAATCTACATATATAGAGTATATACATATGATGGATAAAACAGATCCTATTACAGAACCATGTTGGACACCAGACGAAGCGCTGCAATGTACTTACGGGATGTTAAATATATCTACTCGCTGTATTTGAAATTTTGGGACCTCAATGTTAATTCTTCAACTTTACTTGCTTTGGCCTTGAACTATTTTTCTTCGATAGTTACTGACGAGTTTGTGAAGACGAAACACACGTGTGGCGTACACAATTTTAGAACATACTCACTCATTCTCGTCCAATGGAAAATCAGTATTTTCCTTTCTATTTTTCATAGTACGTGGCTTTCCATGCACTATAAAATGCTACACATGAATGACTTTTCATTGTAGATTAATCATGAAAGTAATCTCTTAAAAATTGTACTAACGAAATGTACAACACCCAAGGCAATGTCCAAGGGAAAAGATTAGAAGAAAAAAATCATGAGTACTGTTGATTGTCTAATTACCCGGTATTATAAATGAAATCAGGAGAATTAGAATATAGCATAGTACTCTCGACCAATGAAATTGTAGAATTGGATGCCTCTTAATTGTGAAGAATGAATGTAAATCATGTTCTTAGTAAGGGATTATCCTATTATTTGGGTCTATTTTCAGTTCAAAACAAAGAATTTCTATAAATAAGTTACAACTGCCCCGAAGCACATTTATCAGATTGAAAGGATTTATCACACAGTGATTGAAACTGACTAAAAGTTGAATTGTGAAACAAACAAAAATCTCAAAACAATTTGAAGTTTACTGGTGCAGTAAAATTGGTACCGTGAATTTTATTATGAAAATATTTTAAAATAACTTCAAATTACTATAAAATTAAACAATACCAATGCAAAAAAAAAAAGAAAAAAAAAATCTTTCAGATAAAAAATAACCTAAATCGTTAGCTTTCCAAAACTTTGATTACCTGATCAGCGGTTGGGGAGAATAGTTATTTCCAATACATGTATCCCGAGAAAAAAACAGGAATTTAATTTTGAACATATTAAAAACTTATAAGGGCATTATTTTTGAACATTTCCCTGACATAATGACACAGTATTTGATGTAAAAAGCCGGACCAAATTATTGACTGTGAGATAAAATTTAGTTGTAACTCAAATGTATTAATTGATTTCAACTGTAAATAAAAAAGGATAATTCCTCACTAAAATATTACATGATTTACATTCATACTCACAATCAGGAAACATACAATTCCTACCTTTTCTTTCTACTGTTGTGTCACCTAATATCTATAACGCATTTTTAAAAACAAAATATTTCCCAAATGATGAGAAAGTCCTCACATCACTTAAACTTACCCATAAATGACATGCCGAAAAAGGAAGTCATGCATCAATTATAAACGTTGCAATGACAATGAAACTAATTCTTGAATATATCATTTG